CACCTTCTCTTTCTTTCCCCAACATCTGTCACTATAGTTTAAGCATGACTCTTTCCCTACTTAATTTCTCCCAGAAACAATAATCAGTGTTCTTCTGAGAAACATCAATTTGTCTATCCTGAACAAAAATAATGTCAACCATAGTTAATATTTGGTTTTGAGCAATTGACAATAAAACAGAAAGGTTACTGAGTTGCTAGAAACAGTACAAATAATTCCATGACAAACTTTATGTTTATAAAAAATTTAATAGCAGGTGCCTTTAAGATCATGTCACTTGTGGGTCATTTAGGCGAAAAGTAACTTTTCTAAAGATATGTAAGATTCAGTTTTTTGTCCCACATTTTCGTCTAGTTTCTTCCCAAAAATTTCTCCTCAGGTGTTAAATTTCAAAACAGCTCTTGGAAATTTACAAAATTTTGCAAGCTATGCTTGAATGAAAATACTTGAAGGAAAGTACACTGATATTTTCATAAAGTCAATGGCCTAACCAAAGTTTCAACATCTGATGAATTTGAAAACAATCTCAAAAACAGTGAATGAAAAAACAATGATTCAGCTGAATTCACTTAAGTGAGCTTTGCTTATTTTGAGCAAATGAGTAACTTGGCTTGTTATGGTGATGTGTGTATCCTTGTTTGTAAGGCTACAATGCTACTGGACATTTTAGGAATATGAATTGGCAAGCACCCTGTGAAAGGCATGCATTCAGGTTCAGGGCAATCTTTGTAATATGAGGTGTGCCTCCACACATGCCTAAATTGTCCAAGGCGTGCAAATCATCGCATGCGCAAAACAAAGAATTTGCCATTTAATTTCTTACAAATTCCTTATGTTATGAAGATTTTCAAAGCAGCAGTAAATCAAAGTCGCCAATTTCAAAGGCATTTCTGTCCTTTTTGGGATTTAACAACTTGACAGGACTTAAAAACGGAGTCACAAAGCTCCGAGGAAGAAAAGACCACGACTGTACTGTTTTTTAATTATTTTAAGCTGCTATTGAACGATTTTTTAAGATTAAGAGCTGTAAAACTTGTTTTTGATTTCAAAGAAAGTGTGTTTATTTCGACCTGTGTGTCTTTTCTCTACCCATTCTTTCTCATCCAATTGTTCACTGAATTCCATATTATCATGAAAGGAACATTGATCAAATAGTAAGATACTTTTTAAGAATATCCGCTATGATATCCACTACATTAACGATGACACCAAACTCAGTGATGCTGCATGGTAATTTCTAGATAATGCATGGCAATTTCTACAAGCAATTTGAATTTTTTTCAACCCAGATATCTTTAAATGATTATAAAAGGATTCAATAATTACTTCCTAGAGAATTTATTAATTAATCAAATTCAACATCTTTAATAAAGAACAAGAATAGTTTCTCCCAAAATTTCCTTGGTTTTTGTTCAGTTTGTAACACAGAAGTCCCCTTGAAAGCAGCACCCTATAGTTCTTCATGACACCCTATCATTCTGGAGAGAGATGGGGGTTATCATATCCTTCAGGCTCTAGGGCAGGGAAAGTGTTTCTTGTCACTTGACAGGTGTGATGAAGATAAGATTGTGTGCCTTGGATACAGCCCATGTAAATATTTCTTTGTGCATCTTAGAAGTCAGTTGAAATTGGTTTAGAAGATGTCCTGGGGGAAATCAATTGATCCTAGTGACTCTGAAGAAGATAAGGACATTATAATTCATTGATTTTAAGAAACTTTCGAAGCTGCTAGCAAAGTTTTTGCGAACACAATTCTATAACACCTTCATAACAAAAAATGCACAAGAGCATCTTTATAACATTTTTACATTGAATTATTAATAAGCCCCCTCTTTTTCAAGCCCCCATTCAGGACTGAAAATAATAAATAAGCCCCCAGAGCTTTTACATAGAGCTTTTACAGCATTGTCAGTCTCACTTTCTGACTTTTCTTCAAAAATTCTTAAAGTTATATATATATACGTATATATAATATATTAAAAATATGTTTATATATAATATATGGATTACATAGTTTTAAAAATAAAGTTTATTATTGACAAAAGCCTGTCACACCAATTACGTAGAATTCAATAATTCAAGGTGGAATCCATGTCAAGGTCAGGATTGATATAGGCCAATAAACAAATGAAATACAATGGGAAATTGTTGTCCCACACCACACTGGCCAATGATATCCTATGTACAGCTGAATGTTAAAAAACTTTGTTTCAAATAATTTGAAGGATTTCACAGAGTAAAGTATTTCTGTTCTGTTCCCTGATACATTTTTTTAATTTTGAAGAAACTGGTTTTAAGAAACTAGTACTGGGATGCCCATAAATTTAAGAAGCTTTCGTATTAGGTTTAAGAGAAATTAAGAGTTATATACAAAGTTTTATTTTTAAAAAAGGAATCTAAAAGTTTTTTTTTTTTTGAAAAAGATGGCATGCTTTGGATTCTTAACTGTATGGGTATTTTGCATGACAATCAGTGTTTGTATTCTTTTAAAGTGTGCAACTTCAAAACAATAAGGTAATTTTTGGTCCCGAAAAAAAAAGAAACTAGCTAAAAAACTTTTAGTATGATGCAGTAAGAAACATAAACAAGTGCCAAAATTTGGATGCCAAATTAAGAAAATTTTAGCATTTGGGTGTTGATCCAGATTTCTTATAAATTAAAAAGTGTAAAACAAAACTATCCAATTATATATATGTCTAAATATGAAGGAGACAGGTACGTTGGAAATTGCTTCCAAGTAAAAAACCGCTATATATTTTATATTTGCTTAACTAGTTTATTCAGATCTACTTTTCTAAATCTTTTTGTGATGGTTTCAGTCTAAATTCTAGGTGGCTGGGAAAAAGAGCACCAAAAAGAGCTAAGAACATTTTAACCTATTTCATTAAAAAACTCTATCTCAAAATTTGAACAGGAAAATTAAACTTCAAAAGTTTCTGATTGTTGCTTATGAATATTTTCAAGAATTTTAGAAACTTTTTTCCATTCAACAAATCTTTCATAGGACGCACGCAGAGACACTCAAAAAGCTTTATTCAGAAAATAACTTGAGTTCTATCTAGATACCCCATAAGGTACTAAGGTCCAAAAAAATCAGCAACCTTCACCTACAACTTTCTGACTTTTGAGCAATAAAAAAAACCAAAATCATATAGGTATTCATGGTAGAGATTTTGAACTCAATTGAAATAAATTAAATCAAACTTTAATGAAGAAATGCTAATATTCAGCGGCGGTGATCTATAGATCAGCCTAAAAATACAATTTAATGGAACTGTACCTGAGAATAGATCCTTGAATATAATCATTTTTACTTTTTATGGTAAGATTGCCAAGATTCTTTACGATTCTTGCGTTCTTGGATTCAGAGACCGATCCCTAGCACTGTTGTCGTAAAAGGACAAGAAATTGCTCTTGAGAACGAGATCACCACAACCTCGCTATCATATGGTCATTTGCCAAGAGAATTGAGAATGCAACTTCAATAAATGTCCTCTATTTGGATTATTATATTTAATCCGTTTGAATATCAACAATTAAATATGTATGAGTCCTATATAGGTCCAGTCGCGTAGTGTAAGTGACAGAATTCCAGATAGACGTTTATCCATCCTCCACCTTTTAACCCAAAGCACTAAATAACTTTGTCAGAAAAAAAAGAACATAGCGAGATTTGGCGAGAAACTCTAGGTTTTTTGTATTAAACAAAAATCTTCTGCTATGTTTTTCTTAGCTCTGGTCAACGGGTGCCTAAGGTGTTCCAGTGCTTGGTTGAAAATCAAATAATTCCCTTAATAACATTGGCTCCGATACAGGTTGGAAAAGTGGGGTGCAAGGGAAAGTTTTAAACCCATAACAAAAGATTTTGAAAAAGGTTATATTATTTTGCAAAAACGTGGGGGCATTATATGATTCCCAACATAAATAAACTTACCGATAATTGGCCATTAATGTTCTATCTATCTTTCTATCTATCTATTTTTTACTGTGCATTAACCTAGAAATTGGTATTACGTACAATGGTTAGTATGTTAGTATAATTAAGTTTGAGAAAATAAAATGAGATAAAAGTAAATATGATTAATAAATATTTTGGCAGTGTGACCCCATGAAAAACTTGAATAAAGGTAATATTGTATGTTTACTGCAAATTTTACCAGCAGCGTGAGGGTGATATTCACACCGTCCCCATGTCCTTGATTGTACCCATTGAAACAGCAAAAAACCGTGCTGCTCGTATTGTAACTGGCAACAGTCTTGCTCCTACGGGCTGACTGCTCATAACAGGGCTGTTCCTAATAAGTTTAAAACTACACTATATTTCCATTAAAATAGTGTACTGACTGGGAAATAACACAGTAGGCAGCCCCAACCCCCCCCCCAATATGAATTTCGTTCCGACGGTACTGCATGAAGAATCCGGCTGAAGACCATAGATGAGCTAATAACTAGTGATTCTTATAACACGAACGGGCTCCACAATGCATTTAAAATCAATATTAATAAAGGGCTACACCCTTCAACATATGAAATGAAATAAAATTCTTCTACATAAGCCAGTAGTGAAAAACACCCTCTATTTTGCTTATCGATGCAATCAAATGATTTCTAAGCATAATGGGTCTCTTTCAGGCATTTGGTTGCAGCCCCTAAGCATTTGCTAACTGCAAAGTAAAAGCAAATAATTTCGGCCTAGAAAATCTAAAATTTGATGCTAATTGTTTCTCAGACAAAAAATAGGTAAATTCAAAAGAGAAGGAAGACTAAAAGCACCTCAAGGCTCTTTGCTTGGTTAGTTAACCATTTTTAAAAAATTGAAATTTTTCTTATGTAGTGCATGTTGCAAAGATTTTATGTATCTTTCTGGATTCTCAGAGCAGAAATGATGAAGACACCATGATGACGTTTTATATTTATATGCAATATTTACTAAGGCCTAATTATGACTAACCGGTTGGTGATTACTTGAAAAATCCGCGTGAGTTACTCCTTACCACTCCATTGGCCTACGCCAGGGAGTGGCTGTCTCTACTATACATCCTTTCTACTGGAGCTCCTTCTCGTAACTAACTACAATTCTTGCTGGAGTACCTACTACGCAAATATGTGTGTGTTTCCGTTATAACCTTATATGGCATAATGACCTTTGCACTTACCATGTGCTACTATTCTCTTAATTGCACGCGAAATACCAAAACTTAACTTCGCAAGAATGCAACTTTCTCAAATAAATGCAATCTTATTCCTATTCGTTACGATGCAATTATCAATTGATAACCACTTTGCATCTATACATTTGAATCTCGAATTTGATCAAGTCCTTGTTTAAAACGAATGAAAACGTCACTTATACAGGATAGGATCTCAAGCTATTTTACTTGGCTCAAAGTTGAAAAACTTTTTCCTAGAAACGATGTTAGGGGATGGGAATTTGCACTAATGTTGTCAACAGTTCTCATCCAAGCAGAAATCAATATAATAAAACTACGACTTTGTGAATGGAAATTGAATATTGTGACAACGTTTCAAGCATTGCAAGATTGTGGGAACGGTTCAAGCATAACTATTCTTGAGCTAATGAAGAGTTATGCTTGAAACGTAGCAACAAAATTCAAATTTTCAATTTCCGTTTACAAAATCGTTATGTTAAGAAGGAAACGAACGAAAAGTTCTTCTACGTTCTTTTAAGTTCTAAGAAGGAAACAAACTTCTGCCCTTCTGCTGTTTACTTTGGGATAATTTTTTGTGTTATTTGTTACTGAAAGCACAAGTATTGCAAGTATTACTTGATTTCCCTCCTTGGTCTCCTTCCTAGAATGCCAAAAAGAGGCTACATTATGTTTTGTTTTCCGGTGTCATTTCAAGATCCCGGATGTTCCCGTGTGTTGATTTCTTTACCGTGTCAGGTCGTGAAGTTTCGTTTTCCATCAGGTCGGCTGTTATTCTATTCAAAAATGGCTTCAAAGCATGGACCTGTCACTACCGTTACTTCGGACGGTTTACCTGCTGGATTGGTAATTCTCACAGATGAATCCGTACCGATCCACCTGAATCCTCAACTCGGTGACGAAAGAACCAATGTATTACAAGCTGCACTGGGGGAACGGGAAGTTAGCCAGGCTCTGAGACGTGTTGAGGGTGATCACGATCAAGATGGTGTGGAATTTTGTGAGAGTATGGAAAGTCATGGAATTACAATGGTATCAACTCCGTCTCACAATGGCGGGTATTTTGAAGAGTCAGACCGGGTTGATGAAGACGCCATTATCAATTGGTAAATCTCTTTACTGCAGTCAAAGCAATGAATGCTGATCCCCAAACGGAGTTTTTGTTAGGCACTATATATTATAGCCATTTAATTTTGTTGTTTTATTGGTCGCTTGGTTTTTTCGGCAAAATCAACTTTACGTTTCGATTTATTAAAATATATTTGAGCTAAGTTCTAATCAAGGTCACTCGTTCCAAGGAGTGTACTAGTCAATAATTCGGCGAAAGAATTAGGGGGAGGTGAACAAATTTTATTTCTTTAGGCAAGAACTTCATAATTGACTCAATAACAGAAAAGGCAAAGAAGTCGAACAAATCGATTTTTGCAGGCTTTGTGTCCCTATGAAATGCTGTCTCAAAACTCCCATCCTTACTGCTGACCACTAGAATCACTCATCTTTTTCTGGAATGGGTCTAAAGTTTGACAGACTTATTTGATAGCCTAGACAGAAATTACATCTAATGACGAAGTAGCATGATTCTACCCAGAGATTTATACTGTAAAGTTTTGATGCTATATGTTGATTTCCTTATTTCTTGTCTGCGGTTCCATCATATTTGAAACTCTAATCATTAAATTGATATAGCTCAGTATGCTACAATAGCTCAGTAGTGTACAAATCACATCTTTGATTAAAAAAAGAAGTTAGTATATATTTGTAGACCATACTTCACTGATGTATAACTTTTGACATCAACATTAGGGCAAATATACATGAGGAGAAAAACTCCTTTAAACAGCAGGAAACTTTAAGTAGATACTACATTCTACAGTTTTATTCTGTCTTATGCTTGCAATAGAATTCAATAAATGTGAACAATTTTTTTGCGATACAGAATTTAAAAATGGCTTTGAAAAAAGCAAACATTTTACGACATACTACAACATACAAGCCATTTTCAAGTCAATAAATGTAATAACCAATGAATGCTCTGGTTACATTTCATTATTTGTTTGAAGGTATCATTTCAACAGGGTACCATGTGCATGACAGATCCATCTCGATCAAAGCACTAGTTACAGGTTGTGTCAATCTGTGTCAGCAGAGCAATCTAGTAAAACAAAAGATTTGTTCATAAGGTTTCCTGGTTTTATATGCAGTATTAGACTTGTGCCGTAGAAAAAGTTCAAAACAGCTGCCAAAAAATGTTGTTGTTTCTAGGTTGCAAGACATAATTGTTGAAGATGACTATGGTAAAATTGACTGCAAAGTCATGATAGAACTGGTTCAAAAAGAGTTTGGGAGCAAAAGAAGAAAAACTAGAGCATGGCTTAAAAAAGCATTTCCAAAATCTTATCTGAGGCGCTCAGATCGAAGTCGTTGGTTCTGTGGAGTTTCGTTCAAATCTGACAGAGGAAAGCCAGTTATAAGTGTCAAAGATAAAGAATGGATTGACAGAGCAGTTTCTTGGTATTATATGTTTTAACAGTTTATTTAAGAAAAAAAGCATCCACACCACACAATCTTTTTCCAAATTGTTCTTTTGCATTGGATTAACTAGTCATGTTATGAATTGATGCCCAAGTCAAAGTCATTTAACCTGATGTACAAAACTTAGGAGGGCATAAAGGCCATTTTTGGAAGGTATACTGAGAATGAATGTTGTCAGGCTGAATATATACAGGGAAATTTGGAACACCCTGGTAATGAATTATTCAAATCATTTGCCCGTAATATAGTTAGATTCCTAGTTCACCTTTCTTTGAAAAAGGTTTGTTGACTTGCAATTTCAATTTATGTGAAGCTGTTTCATAGTATTTTTTTGCTATTTGCAATGCCAGCTAAAGGTCTTTGTGCAACACCTTTAGATGTTAAAAACTGTCCACAGAAATAAATTTTTACTCATTCTCAAGCCTGTTTTTTCCAATATCTTGTCTTCCCGTGCCATAGTTTTAATAGCAAAATGGTAGCTTCTAATTCCAATGCAGCACTATTATTTCACAAGCAGCAACATTTCAAATTTAACAATGAATAGAAAACAGACTAAATATTTGTTTTGGTTTTAGGTTGTCATCATCAATGGAAATGAACCCAACTGTTAAAGAACGTTGCTCAGATGTTCACCAAGCTTTGACACAACATGTTGGTCCAGCAGCTGTGCATTTAGCTATATCAGCAGTGAAAATGGTGTTTACAAATATTCCAAGAAAAACTTATTCAAGAACTGCATTTTATGTTGGCATCAGATTTAAAGACCCATCTTTAGGACATGGATCAGTCCAGTCAGCTGCCAATACATTGACATATCTCAGTGACATCAAAACTGAATATAGTGATTCTGCAGCAAACAAACTAGTCATAGCATGGTATGTCCATTTTAAAATCAGGTGGCAAAGATGTCCCAGCAGTTTTGACTGTTGAATAAATGCTATTAATTTTGTAAGATAATTTTAATTAATTTAGTAATGAACAATAAGCATTTATAGCCTAAAGATATTTCAGATCGCATTTTGAGCTAAAGAGCAACTTCCATTCTCGAAAACAAAACCAGCTTCAATTTTCAAGTTTTACTATTAGCAAGATGTCAAGTTTACTGACGTGTTCCACTACTGCTCAACAATTGAGTTAGAACATATCATGTTTTTATCATACTAATTCGTAGGTCCAACAATTATGTTTCCAGGAAAGCATTTTTGACCTGAAATATGATTTCAAACCCTTTAGTTTTTGTAAGCACTGATTAGGTTTGTATATATGTGTCATTGGCTTTTCAAACATAGGGGCAGAAGTCAAATATTTTCTTTTTAATCAATTATACAACAGGAAAGGAACTGGCTTGAATTGATGACAATCCTGCAAAATTATTTATTCAGCAAAGTTGAAGTGGCTACAGCAAGGGCTGTAAGCAATAAATGAATACCTTTCAGATAGGATATGTTATGAAATTAAGAACTTTGGAACTGCTCAGACTTTTGAACTGTTTCAAAGCTTTGGATTTGTTCAGAAATGTTTACCGTAATTATCTTGATTACATACTTCCCGAAAGTAGGTGAAGTTTCAAGAAAAAGTCTTTTTTTACGCTGTTGCAGCTATTTCTTAGTTAGAATTGTGCAAGATATTTTTTTGTCAGTAGATGGTAATTCACTGTTAATTGTTCCAGAGAGTGCATCATGATGTTATTACTGCAATTTGCCAGTAATTTAAAATTTACCTCTTGCTATTTGAAAGGCTACAGAAAGCATTAGTTGCAGACAACACCAAAAGAGAAACCATAAAGCTTGTTGGACTTTCAATCCAAAAGAGATTTGGCAAATCATTACCCCATGCCAAAGTTGCAAGATTGGTCAAAAAGATATTTCCAAATGTTACAGTGAAGCTCAAGGGACCTGCTGGTGGTATCATTTGGGGTGTACATATTGATTCTGCTTACAGACCAACAAGCAAATGGATGCAGAAAGCAACTGCATGGTATGGTAACAATTGTGGCTCATTTTTTATTCAACGTTTCATATTTTGTGTGACAACTGGGTTCATGTTTATAAAAATTGTACCAATTCAAATATTTGAAAAAGTTTGTTTGTGAAACGGGACAGTGAAGGTAGAGGTTTTCATTTTCTACTGTTCACCTATTTTCACCTAAACTTTAAATTATAAATGAAATTATACACCATAACGGTCAATCTTTCTTCAACTCAGTAGGCTTGAAACGTCGCTATCGAAGTCACTATCGAAGCAATCGAAAGTGATTTTGAATGGATTCGATATAAGCAAAACAAACTACTGCTGTCGTAAAGCTTTGCTGTCGTAAAGCTTTGCTGTCGTAAAGCTTTGCTGTCGTAAAGCTTTGCTGTCGTAAAGCTTTGCTGTCGTAAAGCTTTGCTGTCGTAAAGCTTTGCTGTCGTAAAGCTTTGCTGTCGTAAAGCTTTGCTGTCGTAAAGCTTTGCTGTCGTAAAGCTTTGCTGTCGTAAAGCTTTGCTGTCGTAAAGCTTTGCTGTCGTAAAGCTTTGCTGTCGTAAAGCTTTGCTGTCGTAAAGCTTTGCTGTCATAAAGCTTTGCTGTCGTAAATTCCTCTGCTCTTTCCTTGGTCCGCTTGTTTGTAAATTCGTTTGTTTGTTTGCTCTCTCGCTCCCTTGTACGTTCGTTTGTTTGTTCATATGTAAGATTGCTTGTTTGTTCCTTTCTTCACTCGTGTGTTTGTTCGTTTATTCGTTAGCTCGTTTATTGGTTCAATTCGTTCTTTTGTGCATGTGTTAGATCGTTTATCTCTTTTTTCTTCCGCTAGCTCTCGTGTTCATTTATTGTACTGATCCTGGTACCAATATGTCCATTGTATTGATCCTGGTAGCAATACGCATTTTTGTGAGCCTTACAGGATATTTTCTTGCTAGGATGGTCCTTGTTCTTGTTGGGTAGCATATTGCAGGAAGAATACTCAAATGTAGCCTATTGCCAAAATAATTCTTATGCAATGTTCCTCGCATGATTCCCAGAAGATCTGAGGCTCAAGTCCAAAATCCTTTTGTCTTGAGAGGCAGGAGTTCCATGTAGCAAACATACCATATTGCTCTACTATGAGTTTTTACCCATAGTCACTATTTTGTTACATCTTTTTAATCAAAATGTCCGACAATGGTTTGATTTTTTTATGATGATAGATGTTCTCTGCTGTAGGATTAGAGAACTTTATGAACCCGCAGAATTATCATACTGCGAAAATGCAGCTGTACTTTTCGACCTGATAGCCCAAAGACTAAGCATTGGCAAACAATCAAAAGCAATTTCGCTGCTTCAAGAAGCTTTTCCAGATATGCAATACAAAGAAGTAGGAGACTGTCAAATGTTATTTGGTATCAGACCCAAGAACAATGTAGAGGATGTAGAATTCCCAGAATTCACTGAAGAAGAGGATTCTCTCAGTGATGAAGTGTTGCATTGTCTAGATGGAAACAGTTCTATGAACGAGGCACTTAATAAAAGAGTATCTAGAGAACAACTTGCTAATACGAACAGTACAGGGGCTTCGACACCAGGTAAGTTTTCCTCGTTCTGTCTCCTTTAAATGTCCCTCATTTTTACCACAACAATAACACATCTCGGTGTTTAATGAAGACCTTAATGAAGACTCTTTATTTATCTAAAATTCTGGACAGACTGTTGTTGCATATTGCACCCTCCCCCAGTTCCATAAAGATTTCTATGATTTTAAGATATATATACCCCAAGAAAGGGTGGCTAGCGGTACTGCACCTGTGTGCTCTCCGTTATGTGCCTTGGAACTTGGCTCAACAGCTGTGTCTAGGACTTAAGTTTCAATGAAGCTTTCAATTGTTTTTAGAGTACCAAGAAGCTACAGCTAAGTGGCTATACAGCATCGAAATATATCAAAGAAAAGATTGTGAAAAGATGTTGTTTTAAAAATACCAAACAAATATCCTGTTTTGACCCTGTCTGAACTACCTATTTGTACATTATGTTATATTTCTTACCTCATTATTTGAAGTTAAACAAGCTAAATTATTTTTTATTTTCGCCCCTAACTAATTTGGAATCTACTGGAAGACATAGGAATTCGGCTTTTTGGAAATCTCTTTGCATTGTAGCAATGCTTTTATCAAGAACCGACAAAAAGATCGAGAAATGCGTTGATGCTTTGTGCCTGGTTTCTTTTATTCAAATCAACCCAATGTTTCCAAATTTTGGCTCCGATGTTTCAACTATTCTATTGCAGTTAATCGATGACTTTTCATTAAAGTAACAACCTCTGCTCAAATTTATCCTCACAAAAATTCCAATATATTTAAAATCGCACTGATATAAAAATTACCACGTCACCGTTTATTGTTTTAGCATCCTACGCCGTTACATCATCTTCTGCTTACGTTCATGGTGAGTCAACGAATAACATTGCTTATAAGGGGTTTTCTCCATCATGCCTTCCAACTTTCATGTAAAAAGTGTTATTATGGCAATTTGTTACAACCTACAGCATATTCAATGACCTCTGATAGTCTAAGTTTTATGTGATTATATCTTCTATTATTTAATCTGCAGCCTACTAAAACCAGAGTTGATTATTAAATTATTTGCTGTTCCTAGGATCTTTCAATGTAATGTTTGAATAAAATATTCCAAAACTATCCAATCTTTCCAAAGTACACACGCACATTAATGTAGCGCAGAGTGCCTCTTCACGCCTTTGTTGAATACAAACACAAGTCTTTTGCTTCTTTTTATTTCGACAACATTTTATTACCAAACGATGTTACGATGTCTTTACTTTGTACAGCGTTCTTTAATTGCAAACTAAACCACTAAACCACTGGCCACTAAACCAAAAATTATCTAAAGATCAGCCAGCAAACCCTCAAACCAAATTCCTTTCTACCTTTTTCAGATTCTGAACTCCAACCAAAATCAGCCAGTGTTGACATAAAAGTAGGTACAATGTGGGAGTTGTTTAAATCTTTCCAAGGAGTCGTGCAAGAGGAGCTTTCCGGCATGAACAAAAAGCTTGTACGTGTGGAGAAGAACATGTCAGAAATTGCAAAAGATATTTGTAAGTTGGATTTGGTTTTTGATTTAACATTGAATGTTCATCAAGGCTGCCCTGTCACGGATCAAACGTCAATAACAACAAATATTATCTTGATTTTTCAATGTAGTTACGATGCATGAATTAACGAATTAGTTAATTAGAATTAACGAGTACTTTTAAGATATTTTTTGTATATTTCTGGCAATTGCATGGTAGATGTTGCTATGCATTTTAAAATTACTAAAAACTTTCTATGTTTCATTTATTTTCTATTATTTCTATGTTTCAATTTTTATGATTTTAACTCCAATATCCATCGCACCCTTTAAGGTCATAAAGCTCGATAATGCAGTAACTTGACATGGAAAAATGAGAACCTAAGAGCCCAGCATTTAGGTTTCTGTTGCTGATATAATCATTTGTTTTAAAAAAGAGGATTTCTTTCCATAACACATAACTACCCTTGGGCGATTTCCTTTGCTCTTTCTGTAATCATTGGAGTTTTCTTTTCAATATGTTTAGAATACCTCATGGTATAAGCCATTATTTTCAGGATATTATCTTAATTTATTCAATTTATAATAAAACAGTGCATCTTTGTGGATATTAGTTGGCCTGATTTGGAAACCGTTAGATGTCTGTGGCCGCTTTTGGATTTTTTCTGTTCTGTCAGGGAAACCCACTATCCATTCAATTCTGTTTTACAAATACACTTTTATTAATATTGAATATAGTTTCTAAGCTTTGTCATGATGAAAGATCCAGAACAGCTTTCTAGTGTGTCAAGACAAACCTCTTTGATACAACTGTTTACATAACAAACTGTTCTCCCATTCTTTTCGGTACAGAACGGTTCTTTTCTGTTTTGGCTGATGATTTTAGAACTTGCTTCCGATATGATCGCAATCCGATTTTCTTCAATCCGATTTTACTTTTTAGATCCAGTGATTCAATTTTTAAAAAACCGTTATATCCCTTATTATATTGCATTTGTTTATTTTATTGTCATTTGAAATTTGTATTCATTGCACTAGATTTCTATAGATACTTGTGGGCTTTAAATTTAAGAAGAGGCATATAGTGTTAGATGTTTTTGTTCGTTTTCAAACCCACAAATCAATTTTCATTCTCTTGAACTAAGTTCACTTGCCAAGGTGACATTCAAAATGTTGTTGGATAAACTTGAAGAGGCCCGCCATTTCTTAACTATTAAAACCGTTCGAAAAGTTTGAAATTCTCTAAGTCTCCTTTCCATATACTGTAAACTCTAAGGCAATTTGGAAGTTTTCTAATTTTTGCACCTCTCACAACAAGTATGGTTCGCTAGCTATTCTGCTCAAGGAGGGGAGGGGGGGGGGGGATTTGTCCATATCTTATTTAGCTGACAGCGTTGGTGAATGATCCTATTTATTTGCCGAGAAGTATGAAAATTTGTCGACGAAGCACCTCTACATGGCAAAAACTCCTGGTTTTTAAAATCAAACTTTCAAACAAGGGCGTGTCACACCTCACGCCCTAACTTCGCGATGGCCCAGATTATAGAATGCGTAAATCACGATGGTCAGTATTGCGGACGCATTGGAAAAGGGATAAGCCAAGGTCAAACGGAATGATTCTCCCAGCCCGTATTAGGACGTATCCGCGTAATGTAGTTTTTGAAACCGGAACATTTTTTGAAGGCCTCTCTGTTTTCTTGTTTCTAAAATCTAAACGACTCCTTGGTTTACATCTTCTTCATTACGAGCTGCTTATGTTAATCTTGTCAACCTGAGAGAACAAGGTGTTTCATTGTCTACCTCTTTAAATATGTTTTTGAATACCCCCTCATAAGATGCAAAAATATGGGGACTGGTAAAATGTTATCAAGATGAATACAAGGACCTCTTTCGACTCGCTTAACTTCGAGCCATCTTTTGAAGCTTGGCAAGCCTCCGAACCTGCTAAGGAATTTCAAATTTGTATATTTAATTGAAGCGATAGGATTTGGTTTGAGCTCGAATTTTTGTAGGAGACGTTATTTTTCAAAATATAAAGTTAATTATATAAATAAATCTTTTGGTAAATATCAACTTAGAGTTTTTTAGTGTTCGGTAGATTAAATTTTGTGAGTGTTTTTATGCTGGTTGTTTTATTTGAGTGTTTGTTTTAGCTCAAATCAAGGATGAAGTGAGCAAGCTTATCAAGGACAATGCGAAATCGGCTCAGCAGAAAGACTCCCTCATTATCCAGCTGCAACAGACGTTGATCATGTTGTGTCAACAACAGCTCCAGAAGTTTATCCCAGGTGATCAGACTTTCCCAGAGCAGGCTTTATCAACGCTACTGCAAAAAGGAATTGTTAACCAAGGCGAAACTTCCGAAAGCTAACCGAACCACTTTGCAACTCGACACAAATGCGATGAACGACGCCGCGACGCACCAAATCTTACTTTAGCGACCGCCTACTAGCTAGACCGCGTGAACAGTTACTGTTGTACACCCACCGCCGGTTGACCTTTTGTTGTAGATAATTGCAAAACACTGCTTTTCATGACATTAGGTAATTTTGGTTAGCTGGTTGCTAGTATATTGTAAAATGAGGGCGCTGGTGATCCCCTTCTCTTTAAATTGCTGCAATTCAAGTTGCTGCCTTTCTGTTGCGTTTTAGAGAATATTACTGAATGCTTCGCCAGAGTTATTAGGTTTGAAAATTACTGTAGTAAGATTGTGTCAATACTTGACGCCAATAACCTCCGCATACGCCATTGTACCAGGAACATTGTTATTGGTTCAACATGTCGTAACGCCGGAGACCGTCGGGTCTAGCTTCATTGATAAAACTCACGCAATAAATCCTTGCTTACTTGAAAAAATTTGGCGTGCTGACTATTCGTGAGGAGCTGGCCTAAATTAGATATTTCGCGTCCCTCTATAAAGCTATAAAACTCATTTTATGACCCTGTTGAATTTAGCGAGATTAAATGTTGTTTTTTTAATACTGAAAAAAGTAATACGTTTATGGAACTATGAAAAAAACCAATGCAAAAACTCATTTTCTTTTTTTGAAATCTAACGCTGCAGAGCCCCATGAATTCTGCTTATTCAGCGGTCAAAACCCAGCCATTGAAGAACATCTAAAAGGAAGTGGTTAAGGAGTTCAAGACGTCCTGATTGATAGAATTTTCTAGGAGAAGAAAATTCTTAGTTAGTTGTGACTCTTCCATCCTTATTATGTTAATTTGAGTTATAACTTTATGAGCAAAATCAGTAAAATTTTTGGCCCAGCCCATCTCAATAGAGTTCAGCCGCTTCTTGATCCCAGAGTTCAGCCCTTCTTGATCGTGATTAAATCCAAAAATTAAGTTTTCCATGCGTTTTGAGAATCTGTTGAAGCCTGTAAGAGTTGCATACAAAGATAAAAAGAGCTGTTCTTCTGCATAGAAAGAAAGAGTAGTCATGCCTCAACTGAACAGACAGGCTGAATATTTTATGTGGTTTTATGTGTACATAGATTTTGAGCTAATCCAATTAAAAAAAGATCATGCTTAGGTGCTTGGAACGAAAACTTTTGTAAACATCGATATGTTTCCCCTGTTGCTTTGTTACGCGATCAGTGAATGTGGGATCAAAAGTTCTTTGCAGCAGGGTCACCAAGGTCATTCACTATTGGCAAGAGTTCTTAACCGAGTCGCATAGCAGTCTGTCTCAAGGAGTCGACATTGAGGCGGTCCTTCGGGGTGCTATAACGTTTGCTTCTGGTACGGGAGAACAACCTTACCATGGAAAGGTCCCCTTCATGTACATCAACACAAAACTCAGGCGACGCAGTAAACTTTCGCAGAGTGTGCTTACTTTGGCATAAGCGTTTTTGATACAAAATTTTATATGAAGGGAAGGGAAATACCAACCAATGCTATATAAAATGAAAAAAGTTTAGGGGAGAAGGGGGGTATTGGCAAGTCGAGTTGCGAGTACGGAGAATTGGTATACTGCTAAAAAGCTAGTTTAGGGGTGAAAGCTTCACGAGGTGAACTGCGAGTTTTGATCCTTAAACCCACCTGTGATTGCAAGTGAAAGCAATTTTGGGAGTATATATTTACTGAAATTGAAAAATTATATAAAGAAATTAAGAAATTGCGAGACGGAATAGTTTCTCCTCTTCGTCCAATCCCTCGCAGAAACATTTGCTTTTTTTAAGAACCAGCAAATTGAAGTTCAATGGCTGTTCTCCATTTTTAGAAAATCTGAGGCTAGATTGTTCTCGACTTGTTCTTAAATTATTCGTGTGTAAGCAGTGCAATTGCTAGCTATTGCGCTTTAGGGAGGTGTTCAGGGCCCGGTTGCCTAACAAAGTTAGCTAGACATCCTTCATTTGGCGACTACTTTGAAAATTCACCGAAAAAGAATCCCTGCATTGGAGAAAATTCTTGTTTTTGAGACAAAACGTTGTTCGAAATTACATTTTAAAGAAGCTCAGCCTCAGCTTGTTCGTTATTTGTTCTTAACTTTTGACCGTTTGATGACTGTTTATGGATGAATCCCAGGGTCCGCGCCATCGGGGGGCCGGATTGGGCATGGCCCCCACTTTTTTGCGACGCAAGTAGTTTAAAAGCTACAGTAAAAGGAGTAAGAAGCCCACTACTTTTTTAGCCTTGCCCCCCCCCACTTTCTAATTCGAGGCGCGGGCCCTGAACCCTGAATGCTTTCTCGTATGGTAGACCTTTCTCATAAGTAAAATCTAATAAAAACTGGATCTGTGTGCAGAGTCAGAGAGACTGCCTATCTGGATGCCTGATTGTGTGCAAATGCCTCTTTGACCGTGGTGAACACAAGCATCCTAACCTTAAATGAGTAATCGATACATATTAGCAAGGCTAGTAGTACTTTTACCGTTAACCGTATTTATTTTCGTATTTACTGCTTTTATAAGGCGAATTTAGGATCAAATGCCATAGGGATTTGTGCAAAATTGGTGCAATGACCTGTGATGCTATTCCCTTGTAGATAAGAAACAGCTCTACAATTTTAGTGTTCAAAGAGAAATTTAAAAACTTTTCCAGACCCAGCATACCCCAAAGCACGATCCCTAGAAAAAAGCAGCAGTTATATGATTATTAATTTGGTATGCAACATTAACTTCTTCAAAGTTTTAATTCTTTTTATAGCCCTTATTTTTCTGTGTGATTGGAATGATTACAAGTTAAAAATGAATTGAAAAGAATATTTTTTCTGTTCCTGTCGCACTATACGTTGTCGCAATATCTCTTTCTATTCTTTGGAGAGAGCTGTCTGATACGAAATTATACGAATTAGTGAGTCGTGAAAGAGGTCAGGAACATTGCGACAAAAGATTAAACGAACAATTTTCTGACAAGGGCCAGCTTTAGTTCCTTGTGTAACAATGTTCAGTTGTAAGCACACATCAATGTCGTTTGTTTTGATACTAGAATTTGCTGATAGTCATGAGACCACACGGCACCATTTAGTTGGTGCCAAAACGGGTACTTTGTTGAAGGGACAAAAAGAGTCCCGACCTTTTTTGTGTACAAGGCCAAGAAATGTGCAAACCAAATCTTGACTACGGAGGTTCCATTGATGTAGCAGAGACCGATCTCTCCCCTGTTTACCCCCGTCTTTCTGCTATGACACAGTCGTTGCTGGAGAGAAACATCAAAAGATTAACAGTATTTTCCGACTGTTTATGTTAGCGCCATCAACAGTATAAAGAACAAGCCTCGAGCGCTAACAAGCAGTTAATCAGTGCGATTTCCTTGCGAACCAGTCTGCAAGATGGCAGCAGTAGGAATCGTTGCAGTCCTGTTCTTCGTTCATCTCTTTGGGGAATTCTCCTGCATAAATGCATCAGGTAAGTTGCAACAAATAAAATTTGATTAGTCATTCATTGTTTATTTGATTTGTTTACCTGTTTCCATTTTTATCGAATTATGCGAATTTCCGTACTACTTATATTTATGTAGACAAAGGGCATTTGTCCTCTTTGTGAAATGCTTCAGATTGTGGTTGCATTTCGTGAAGTAAAGCCAAATTCCCTCAAATTCTTTTCACTATTTCTATACGGGTACGTACTAATTGTAATTTGTTTGGATTTGTCATTTCAAACTATGGTTACTAATAAAGGGGGCAGACAACAGAGGGTTCAATCAAGACAATGAATGACCTCCCTAGGTACAGCTATTTTAGTGCTTCGTTATTCAGGCACCCCATAACCCCAGGTAGTAGGTGCTCTTGAATTTTTGGTTGGGGTTTCTACAACTTTGGGAAAATTTTCTATGTTTTATTATTTACGCTCTCAAAGATGATCCAAGTTTTCTATTGTTTTTGGAACATTTGTTTCTCATTCCAATATCAATTATAACACTAAATTACACAAAAATTTTAGCTGCAGAAGATTCATATGAAACACAGCTATTTCTGAGAATAACGACGCTGTAGTGCCCTGTTTATAACATCACTAGGCGTGGTCTTGCCCGAGAGGCAAAGTGGCTATCTTCGCCCTGACCCTTTCATATAAGCTGAAGAAATTACGGGATGTTTCTATGACAATTGAATCTAGAATCATTTTTATAAGTTTAGAATTGCAATCACAGACAGGGATGTAGACTGACCTAACCGACGTAAAATATCTGCCAAAAATGCTTCTTGATTCCAACTGGTGTAAACTTTAGGTTGTCGATTGATTAAGTAGAATCAAGATCTTGATAGATTCTAGTGCTTCAAGTTTAAAAAGTTTCAGGGCCAATGACATCGAAACTCAAAAATCCAAAAAGTGAAACCCCTCCAAGAAATTACCAGTGCCTTCCAAGAATCGATGGTATCCGCTGCCTCAAGCATTCATGCCAGCCAAAAACTACCCTGGGTACCAGAGCCTTGTGAATCCGGGGATAAAGTGTTGTAGACGGCTGCGGTGGCAAAGATTGAGCCTCTGAGACTAGATAATGAAGACTCTGACACCCAGGGTAGCCAAAAACCTCCACCGCAGACGTCAGGGAAGAAAGTATTTTGAGGCAATGAGCACCACTGTCGTTTCTATTGCTTATAACGATAGAGTATATATCAAAAGGAACACAAGGGAGATTTTCGCAAGGGAGATTTTACTTTTCAGCCGGTCAGTATTCGCCCGAGGCTTCGTATTTGAAAAGCCTTAGGAAAGAATCGAAGGTTACTGTTTCAGTTTGGTAGCTACAATGATTGAAAGGACAGGAAGGTTTTCCAAAGACTCAACACAACAATTTTGGTAAAGCCCGTAGATATTTATATTTCGGTATTTTGATATCCTATAATGACTATTACAGATCGTGCAATTGAAACAAGGCCTGCTTTTGCCTGTCTGTTCCAACTCATGTCTATTAATAGTATTATCGGTCAAATTTTACTTTTCTTCTATATTTAAGTTAATTTATTTCTTGAGCCGTTATCTTCCACATCGGACGAGGGTAGCGAATTCAGGCATTAACGAATTACTTTGATTTCTTTACAACTATTAACCTGAGCCATGCAAATGTTAATCAAAGAATAGGGTCCAGTGGGGGTTTTCCTGTATTAATAATTGAATTGAATAGCGGTCGTTTTCCTTCCGGAGTGAATATTGAAGTGGATGGTGATGAAATGCAGTACATTTCCCCTACGTTTTGTCGTTATGTTGGAATCGGGGTGCATTCAGATATACTAGTGCCTTTTTATTTGTTTCCATATCACCCTTTCCAAACCGAAAAGTGTTATGTCTCCGTTGTAGGGTGATTATATGGTGGGTTCAGCTTGTGAAAATCGGAGCTGTCTAGTTTCCATAATGCTCGACCTGTTGACGTAATTAGTTTACTTTAACCCTAACCAGGGGTGGACTGGCCGGTCGGGCTACCGGGTGATCGCCCGGTGGGCCCTCCCAAAACTATTGCAATTTTCTCTTAATTTTGCTATTAAATGAAAACTCGTATTGTTTGGTAGGGACCCTCTTCTGTTGCCATAACACCGAGACTCTTTCAAGATTAGTGGACACAGAATGAATAAAAAGATCACTTTGCGGTATTTAAGTACTGAAAAACATTTTCCAAAATTTTTGGTCTCATGGAAACAAGGAGAATCCTGGGCCCAGGACTCGCTGTCCCTAATGCAATAATACGTTATTTAACTGGAAGTTCCAAAATCTGATAAATTTTCTCTTCGGGCCCTCAGTTTAAATGTTTTCAATGAATTATAGGTTAAGGTGGTAAGGACATTTAATTTTTGTGACTCAATTTCTAGGAAGGCACATTATTTTAATGCTAACCAAATAACTTGGGAGTATAGATCAAAACAGCAGAAGTGCTCAACCCCCTCATCTCTGACAAAATTTTTGCTCCAATACATCCATACTTTGCTCCAGTATAAAATGTGAATGATTCACCAAAGATCTTAGGCATAAAACATTGGTATTTACGCCAAATTTTGGTGTAATTCTTGGGAAAAGTTTTGGCATAATTCCATTGGCGTGGTCTGACTGTGCTAGTTTTTTATTCGAAAATTTGCTGACGTAGCGAAAACCATGCGAGATTTACCCTGACGAATTTTCAAAATAACAGGCCCGTAGGCACTGGGACCAGGGGGAGGGGGGGGGGCAATGCCTCCTCCTAATAATTTGCGAAAATTGTGTTCGAAGATCTTATAAGCGCAGTATTTCGTAAGACAGGTAAAGAAAAAGCTATATTTCTATCCATGCTATATTTCTTATAAGCGCAGTATCACAAATGTCTCCCATTGTAAATTGAAAAAGAAAAAGAAACGAGATACAACTGGAAGACTTAGATGCATTACAAGCTTTATGCTCATAGAAATGTAGCCATGAATTGATATCTAAACATAGAAAGGAATGACTCGTTATTCTTGAAAGTTTCTTACTGATAACTTTTATTTACGGTCTTCAATTGACAAGACATAGGTTTTTTGTAATTGCATTTCAAATTTGTTCAAAGTTATGAGTGTCGAAAATGCTGGGTTTGTCGCTATAAGTTGAAAATAAGATCTTGGCTTTATGGTAATTGGAAACTATTAGGGGGTGGGGAATTATTGTAAATGAAAGCTTACGTGTATTGCCTAGGATCTTCCTTTCGACAACCTTATATGGCAAGTATTCTAGATGCATTTCTCACCATCCCTATAATGTCATATTTCGGAAAGGTGACCCCTCTAAATACCATTTGCCATTTTTTATCACTGAGGTTCTCTTTTAAAAGTCCTTCAGCTAGAAAACGATAATTTTTTCCCTCGCAATGTCATGATTTTCTCTTATCTCTTATCCCACGTCAGAATTGAATTTCCAGTGAAAATGATGCTGACCTGGACTAAGGATTGTAGATCCCCCTTGTAAATCTTTTACACTTACGCATACATCCCTGGTGGTTACTAATTAGAAATTAGAATTAATGACTATTAATCATGCTTATTTATGACTATCAGGTCGAGCAGTATGGAAACTAGACAATTTCGTGAAAATCACCCACAAAAGCTGTAGCATTAGCAACCTCTTTTGAAACTTTCGGTAGCCTCATCTTCAAAAAACTGAATGCTGGCTGCACATTTCACGCGATGTGGTCTCGTCTAACACTGACCTTATAAGGTTCTCGTCTTCTAAGGGGCTGCACGCGCACATGTTTCACGAACTTTAGCAATGGAGACCATTCACACTCAAAGCATCACTGCGTTTTAAGCCTTTTCTTTTGTTTCGAAAGCTACAATTATTTCTTGAATGAAAAATTCTGCTCACAATCTTTCCTCAAAAATACTTTTAGATGATGCCTTTGGAAGTCAGTTCTCTCCAGTGGAAATTTTTGATTTAGCAACATTAACTAATTTTTTTAATTTCAGTTAAATGTAGTCAAGGAGGAAAAGAATTTCGTCCAGGGCAATGGATAAAGAAAGATTGCAATAAATGGTATCCTGTATTTCCTACTTCTGGTTCTGACTTCTTGTTTCTTACATCTTTTGAACGCGTTATTCTTATATTTAGCCAAAATCCTCAAATACTGCTTTGTTTTACAATATTTCTATGCGAGAGATAAATAAGAGAAAACGATCATCTTGCCATTCCAAATTTTCAAAATATCTGATTTAACATTAATCTTTTATGAAAAATGAGATGGTTTCTTTTTAATTCATTATAAAAAAGATTCTCAGCGCCATTAGTGATATAACGATCAAAGATCAATTTATTATTTTGTATGAACTTACTGCTCAATTTCTTAGCTACTGTCTACAACATGGTGACTGGTTATGCACCGAAAAGCTTTGCAGTCGATCAAAGTTTGAAGGTGAGACGATCAAAGTATATATTTTATCATATTATATTTGGAAGTATTATACTATATTTTATTATTATACAGTATTTTATTTTATTTTATTATATTATATTATATTATATTATATTATTCCTCATTTATATTATTATCATTATTATATTTATATAATTATATATAATATATATTATATTAATATTAATCTTATATTATATTATATTATATTATATCGTATTATATTATATTATATTATATTACATTATATCATATTACATTTTATCATATGTTAGGTTTTGCAAAATTAAATAATTGCTGTTAGCATTAAATAAGTACACTTTCATATAAAGCACAGTCCAGGGATTCTGACCATATTTCCGAATGCTGCAGCCGTGAGAACGAAGGGTCACCAAAATTCGGAATGGTAAACCAAAAACTGGCAACACTTCAACTTCTACCGCACAATTTTTGGATGTTTTAGATGACCTACTAATTACACGGAAACCAAACCAACTTTCAATGCGCATTTTTCCTAAACAGCTTATCATTTTAAGATAAAAGTTAGAAAAATCTTACCGTTCTTTGTCAGCATCTGTGCTGCCAGAAATTGTGCTGCTGTTTTTGCCAGAAATTTATTGTATCTTTCATTTGCAACGTGCTTTTCGAGTCATATGCAAAGATAGCACCTCCAATTTTGATCAATTATTAGCTAAAGCATAATCAGCCTCTATTCACCAGAGGAGTTTACAACTGCTCTTAATCGATGTTTATAAAACTGTCAATAACTTGAATCCAACATTAATGGACGGTGATTTTTGTTACTAGTAACCTAAAATATGAACTTCAAACAATCAGCGACATTATTTTGTCCAGTGCAAGAACAACAACTTATGGCACAGAGACCATTAGATTTATTGGCAAAAAATATGACAAAGGCTACCTACTGAAATCAAAGAGTCCCAATCACTTTATATTTTTGAATGAAACATAAAATCTTTAGAAAACTTCGAGTGCAGCTGTAGATTGTGTAAAACATTTAGTGTACATTTAGGCTTTTTATAAATAATTACGTTTCATTTTTGTTGTCAATAGCTGGCTTAAGTTGGCTTAATGCTAGATCTCGTTAAGAACTGTGAATATACTATTCATTATTATTATTATGTCAATGATCCTGATGATTTAAGATGGAACGACCGTTATATTGATATCATTTCATTACATCTTATGATCATATCCATCATTTGCCTTTTTAGGAATTCAGCTTACACCAAGGCGACGAGTCACTATCAAAAGAGGAAGTGAGATTTATGTGTTGTGCAGAAGTGAAAGGAAAACATCACGTTTCACTTGGTTTGTTGATGGTCACATGATTACGTCACCGTACAAAGTAGCTACAGATGGGAGATCTGGGGAAAGCGTATTACTTCTGACGTCACACGATTTTAGCGGCGAGTTTGCCTACATCACTTGCTTTGTACCACCCTTCACACCAAAGCGGGTTAAAGTGAATTTGGCTACGGGTGAGTATTTGGGTTATCCTGCTAACAGTGTCCTGAACTTACCAGCAAATATCTCCAAAACTTTTCAAGACTGTTATTCACAATCAGATATGCCATTATCAACTTATTTCAGTTGCTAAAACCAGTCTTTAGAAGCATTTCTGATGCTAGACTCAATACCTCCCCCAGTCTACCTGACGCTGTACCGTGTGGTGTTCCACGATAGCTATTTTTTCCCAAAACTCCATACTTCCGCTTCTGTTTTCTGATGTATTTAGTTCAATTCAGCTCCAAAATTGCTCCTTGTTTCGTTCAATTAGCAACAATGGCGAGTGCAGTACATTCCTATCTCTATAAGCACAACATTGTAATAGCCAGATCTGATTGGATTTAATTGTCGTTTTTTGCTGCACTTGTTGCTGCAACTGTGTTTTTACATCCAAATGAGTTTCATTTTCAATGATGACAGAGAATGTACTCACTGAAATAGAAATTTATTACATCAAAGTGATACTTTTCAGCATCAGATGTTCCAGCTGGATTTCCAGTTTTCAGTTCAAAACACCAAGTTATCGGAGCTAAACCTGGCGACAAAGTGAAGTTACATTGCAAGGTCGAAGGCCGTTCCCCAAAAACCATCACGTGGTTTAAGTTCCGTACTCTTATTGGACAAAACGCAAACCACTCGTATGTTACTCCAGATGGTACACTTATCATATCGAAGGCTGAGAAATCGGATACCGGGTCATACAGGTGTATGGTTGTCAATGATGTTGGCGCTGGTCTGTCTCCGAATCCCGTAAAATTAGTCGTGAATTCAGGTAGTGTTTTTAGGCCAAAATACTGACTTTCTAAGATAAATGGATTCCAAGCCTTTCTTCTGATTTTAACTCAAGAAATTAATTTAGGAAGCTTACGAACTGTCAGACATAAATATTATGTAGCTAATATTTTGCTAGAATTTTTTACATAAGCTCAAAAAATAAGTTTGAAAATTGTCAACTTCTTTAACTTTTCAGAGTTGAAAACATCAAATCCAATCAACGGCGGCTGGTGTGAGCCTCAGCGTTCAGAAAACTGCGACGTGAGTTGCATTGATGGCGTTCAGGTTGTCAAGCGTAAGTGTTCCTGCCCGAGACCGGTCCATGGTGGTACACCATGTGTAGGCTCGTCTGAAGTAGCTGTGGAGTGTAACTTTGCTGGCTGTCCAAGAGGTATGAACCTTGACTGAATTAGAATAAAGAGTTTGCACTTTCAGCCTTTTGAGAAACCTGGCCTTTGAAAGTGAAGGAATACGTCAATTTGTGTAGTACGCTATTCTAATTCAACTTATAGGCATTTTGCCCTAAAAATTAATATGAAATTAAGCCTGATTGGTCCGTCTGGTACAATAACAACGTGTTTTGTTGCAGTTGCATAAAGACGTATGAAAACCCCCTCGCTATGGTAAAAAAATTTTTTGTGAAGTCATAACTTCTGCATGATTCATGAAATTGTTTTCTATTAAATTCCTGCGCCATTTCACGTATGTAACTTGTTTCGTGTTGCAGACGTAACATTGGCTGGGGAGATATCAGTTGGTACAATGACAAATGACGATGTGACCCAAGGCTCTTGTTTGCATATCGGAGTAGTGAAAAATGATGAAAGTTGCAGCAAAGATATGTGCAAGACAGTGTCTACGATGACGACTAGGGATATCAAAATCTATGAACGCAATGGGAAAGACAACTACCTCCTATATTCCATGGTTCTAAAAGATGTCATTGGGAGTTTTGAAATTGGGTCTCTTATTCAGTTGGGACATTGCGATGAATACAGATCTGCAAACAAAATACTCAAGAAAGATAGCAAAACAGATTCAACGATTTTCTCTGAGTTTTTCAGTGTTCAGCAGAATTGTACATACATCCAGCTAAACATGAAAGCAAATTTTGAAGAGAAGCTTCAATCGTTTCGGGGCGTTTTGAGCCTTAGGCCATCCTTGAAAGCAATTCCAGATCACTCCTGTTTGCATATTTCAATATGGTATGATGTTTCTTGTCATGGTCCTTTCGACTGCGTTCCGTTGATGACAACAACATCGAAGTCTTTCAGATATCAAGGCAACAGTATCCTTTACAATGCTATAATACCTAAGTGGCTGGATGTAGGCGATTACCTAGTGCAAGCAACTCTACAAGTTGACCGTTGTGCTGACAATGGAGATTCCAAGGTCGGTGACTTCATGACCTTGAAGAAGCAACGCATATTTATTACAGAGTCATCAAATGATTACGAGGTTGACTTAACACTTGACAAAAGGAGGCCTGAGGGTAGAAGTAAAGGTTAGTTTATTTGAGCCGTTATTGCCTGCCACTACTTTTCCATTTGAATTTTCCTATTTTTCGTTTTGCACTTTATATCTTTCTATTTCTTTTTCCCTCAATCATTCACTGTCTGCGGCAGGAGCATGGGATCATGTTATGACGAGGAGGCCTAACGAAAAGGGGCCTCATTTTAGTACTTTTCATAAAGAATAATACTGGAAGAAATTGCAGGTCCCATGTCCCTAGGAGCTCAGAATGCTACTCTGCCGGTTCTCAGAACGCCTAGCACTGAAGGTATGCTGAGAGAATGCTTGCATGTAGCATGTCTTAAAATAGTTAAACCCACATCTAACCAAAGCTTATCAAATGGCACCCCTTCAAAAACATTTCTGTTTCTGTTTTGCTTAACTGGATGTCTTTTCTGCAGATGTGTGGGTCAGTGGAACGGTCTCTTTGCCGGGCTACTCTAAATATGAAATCGAGGCAAGGTCGTGTCTCACAATAAAAATCCGCGAAATTTACAAGTGCAACGAATCCGAAGGATGCCGAAATCCATACGTTGCTGAAAGGAGAGCACTGAGCCTCGGTTACGTTGCTGCATCTCAGTTTTCATACGATGTTAAATTCAGTGATGTCAAGGGGCGTAAATTTGTCGTGAGTGGAATTCTAAATCTTGGCTGGTGTAAACACTTTGTGAAAGGCAAAAGGAGACTCAAGAAGGGAGACTATCAAACAGCCGAGTCAACTGTCGCATCTCTGAGTGAACACCAAAGCCAAATTAATATTCCATTGAAAATGGAAGAATTCCCAGCTTCTAAAGGTAATATAAATACTTTATTTCTTCTTATGTACCGTATTTCCTTCTTTGAAAATTGATGCGGCATTTATCGGCAGGAGGAATATTATAGACAGTCCAGTAAATAAGTAATCCAATAATTAGACTGAGAGACTTTCTCGACAGAGCAAACATTCAACTGAACGACCAGTTGTCTGGATATCGCGTTCAGTGTGACACACGGGAGTTGCAACTAAGAACTGTCCTGCTCTTCAAGACCAAACTGAACAACTAGATGATTTATAACGAAAACACTTGGAGTTTTTTATTACATCAAAAAGGTTTTTAGGCTTTCCACAATGAGAAAGTGGGCCTTGATTTTTTTTCATGTACGTTAGGATACTTTGGACAGAACGCTCTTTAAACTTTGTTTTCGTTGCACTCTGTGCAGTTTTTTCTTATAAAGCGCCCCTGTGGCATTTGCGGTGTATATTAGAGGGCTGCGTATATAAGAGAGGTGTCGCTGTAATGCAACGAAACTACCTTCTGAGATTCTTCATCTATCAACTTACTTGCTTGCATATTACAGTAACGATTATAAATTCACCTTATTTGAAGTTGTTTTAACCGAAACCTGTTGCTATATTTGTAGGTAAAAAAGAATACCTTATAAATGGAGAGCTCAAACTGGAATCGATTACACCTGACATGCTCAAGAACTCCTGCTTAAAAGTCATCCTTGCAACTGAGAAATGCCTGGCTGGTGAAGAATGCAACAAGAAACCTTTCAAAACAGAAGTATTCGAAAACCTACAATTCTCACCAAGACAGACCATTCATTTTAAAATACATTACAAGAAAGTTTCAAATATAAATAGCGTGTATCTGTTTGTGATATTTAATAATGGCTGGTGCAGCAAAGGAGTAGAAGATTGGAAGTCAATACAGGGTGCTGATCTTATTGGCGATTTCGCAGTGAAAACTGAAGGAGATATTGGAACTTTGGTGTTGAAAAAACAGAAGGATATTCGCTTTATTGAAGGACCATTTGCACGTGCTGAGATTGGGCAAGGTTAGTATTTTTCAGCCAAAATGTAGTGACTGATGTGATCATTCTGCATGGAACGGGAAATCAACAGCGGTAATCAAATGTGCATTATTTTATAGTTCTGCTAGTATTCAATGGGAAGTTAAATCCACTACCAGTATTCATTGATAACATTATAATAATCAGGAAAGTTAAATTTTTCAATTCGAGCTTTCGTTTTCTAAAACAAAGTACAACTTGGGTATTTGTATAGTGTTTGAAAGGCAGACTAAGTTTATTCAAGCTTTCAACTATTTTAATGATTCTAAACCATACACAAAGCTTAAATATGTTCTAAAATGTTTGCTTTTTTCAAAGCCATTTTTAAATTTTGTACCAAAAAAAGAGTGTTTACACATAGCTTTCTGAACACAATAAAAATTACTGTAGTTTTGATCTGAAACAATCTTTATCGTGTTGTTAGTTGGTTTTTCCTTTTGTAAGGGCTGGAAGTCAACCTTTAGGCTACGTTATGTATGGATAATTCAAATCTTAGGGATATTTTCCCTGTGAAAGGAAGCTTTCTCATATCATCCTAGTGCATAACAGTTTTGGCTTTCTTTGCAGATTCCATTATCGTCAAAGGGAATATTGTGTTGCCATTAAACTATCCTAGTTCACAAATTGAAGAGTCATCCTGCCTAATCGTAACTGTCCGAGATTCCAGAACATGTGAAAAAAATAAAATCTGCCCAGATTCACCTATTGCTAAAAATATCTTCAAAAACATTGGTATTACGTCAAAAAACACAATTGCATATGAACTTACCGTCAGTCCCAAACTGAAGCCAAACATCGACTACCTGTTTGAAGCTGTCCTTAACAAGGGATGGTGCTCTGAAGGTTCAACAAACAGAAAGTGGATACAGGATGGTGATCTCTTCAATACGGTCGACGCTCGATTCGAAAACACTGATGTCACGGCTGTACTTCAAAATATTGTTCTCAAAGTTTTCAGGGACTACGATAAAGAAAAAGGTAACTTGGATTAATGCTATGTTTCGTTTATACTTCTATCTAATTATACTGTCTACTTCAACAAACTGTTGTGTAGCATTCACACAGTAGGAACATACATACATTGGAATGGAATCATTATCAGAATAGAAAAGACTTGGTAAGAGTTATTAAACCAGTAAAGGTTTATACCTACATTTCAGTCTACATTCCAAAGTAGGTGAATAAATCACCAGATCTCAAACTGGTTCTAAAACAATGTGAAAGCAGTAAGGAAATCAATAATTTTACCTCACAACTCTTGCTCATACTTCAATAGCTTTCAGTTACAGATCTCCAATAATCTACTAATTTTTCAACATTCAAGTCTACAATTTTTTTCAATGTAATACAGAAAGTTAATAAATGTTATATCCTTCTCTTTTTCACAATTTATAATAGAACACAGAAATTTTGAATTTTTGGAGAAATTGTGCACCTTTTCGCAGAAGGTCTGCATTTTTTAAAAAAATAACAAAAATTTTACTAAATGAATTTATAGCAATTTATTTTCAACGCTGTTTTTCCTAAATATTTGATGATATTCGTAGAAAAATGCATTCTTCGATGTCCCAAAATTCTTGATCCAGTTTGTGCAAGTGACAACAAAACTTATAATAGTTTATGCGATATGGAAACTGAGTCTTGTCTGCGTGGCTCAAGTCTTGAGATGGTTCACAAAGGAGAATGTGGTAAGTGAAAACATGCGAATATTTTTCTGTAATTTTGTAAGTTGCTGAATAACTGTTTGATAAACATGAAAAATAGGATGCATATACAAAAGCAGTTACTTATGTCGAGTTCCGGTCTTTTGAGAAAAATTTATTTGATTCTATTTTATTTTACAGCCTTTTGTATAGAGCTGCGTTAACGCTGCATGTTCCTTTTTCAAGATAATTTCAAAATGGCTTTTAAAACCTTGTTCTTTACCGAGGGAAATCGAGGACATGTTGGCTAATTAAAAACAAATTTCAATTTTAGAAAAATGCAGAAGAAACTGTTCTCGAATCATCGAGCCGATCTGTGCAAGAAATGGCAAAACCTATGACAACATATGCGTGATGAAGCGAGAGGCATGCTTTAACAACGTCTACTTAACATTCAGACACAATGGAATATGCGGTAAGTCAGATAACATGCACCATATTCGACTAAATTGTGATATACAATTTTCTGTAAAATTTATTGCAACATTGAATCTTTAACCGTTTTATAAAGACAAAATATTAGGGTCGAATAGTGCTAGCCTTATAAGTTCTTGCTCTTGCGTGAGTGTCAAAAAAACAGTAGACCAATAGTTGCAAGTTACAAAAAATGGAACTTAGAGAAAGAAGAAAAGATTTGGATCAAAAAGAGGCTAAATCTGGAGAAGAGGCTAGAGAAAATGACATGTCTCTGTGTGAAGAACAAGTGCTAAAATTGAGATACTCTAAACGCGATCCTAACCCGTACATGCTTGCCTTCACCCTTGAGCCATTTGTTTGACATCGTAGTATTCAACACAATATTTGTAAGGCTCTGTAAAATATCTTATCTGAAAACAGCACCAAATATAAGAAACACAACTTTTCGTCCGACATTATTTTATTGCTGCTTTCCTCGAAAGTGCCAACAGTAAAAATGCAACCCGGAAAATACAGTCATTTGCTTCTCGTTGTCCAATTTCCTCGTTCGTGTGTTTTCTCTTTGCTATATTCCCTGCATTCTGCAATTGGGGATGTATAACTGGTGCCTTTTTGTTAAGTCTCTGCTATCTAATAAGGCTTAATTTGTATTGTACGTTGCAGGATCTGTTACAATGAGAGGCGAAGTGAGATTCCCAGCTGATGGCTCAATTCCCCAGGTTCCGGCTGGATCTTGTATGATAATAAGAACTCGAAAATCCGTTTACTGCGATTTCCCAGAAACCTGTCCGGACTTTGAACTTGCGGAAGTCGTTAAAAGAAACATCACTGTTCCGTCCAATCGCAGAATCCCGTACGAAGTGATTATGAATCCAAGACCAAAATCAAGTGTGTATCTTATCGAAGTCGTGTTAAACAGAGGATGGTGCTCTGCAGATTCATATAATTCTCAGTGGATTCGAAACGATGACTTTTTCAACTACAGAGAACAACCTTTCGCTGTCAGGGGAGGTGAACCAATTTTCAAGGATGTTAAAGTTAAAAAGCTGACAAAACTGAAAGAAATTGAAGGTAGTGTTTCAGTTAAATTACTGTTTTGCATTGGTTTCTTGTACCAAAATTTTTACAGTTAAATTCCGCTCTGTCGTACCCCTGATTCTTTAAGTCAGACTAAATATCTATTCCAATCGGATTTCCCTACCTCATTCAAGTGAAAATTCGTACCAGATCACATCCTTATCTCTAGAAGGTTCTTATTAACCGGATTCAACCTTATCTTCTAATTTCCGATCTGCGAGTGTACTTCTAATAACCGTTGAAGCACTTTATTCACTTCTCTGAAGTTTCTTTGTCACTAGAGAAAACCCGACGTTTGAAGTACGCTTTTTTATGTTTCGTGACGAGAAGCTATACTCTGCGCAAGCCTTCTATTTTGAGAAAATTTATTATCAAAAGCATTATTCTTGTAATTTTTCTTGGAAACGATGTTATTTCTTCCAAACTTTTATTTCAGACAAAATGCCAAGTGGCCTTATTGATCCATGCAAGATTTATAAATGCCCTTTCTATGCAAAATGCCAAGTGGAATTTGGTGAAGGGAGATGCACCTGTCCTTTAGCTTGTCCCGCCACAACAAAGCCAGTCTGCGGAAGTGACGATAAGACTTATGACAGCGAGTGTTCGCTGCAAAGTGAATCTTGCATTCTGAAGAAGCTTCTTACAGTGAAATACACTGGTCCTTGCAGTAAGTACCCATGATGCTTTTTGCCTATGCTCCGCCACATTTCTTCACTACTCAAGCTTATGTAAAAGTAAACAGGCCTAGCATTTTCTGCAACACATTATTGTAGAACGAGTTCAAGTTTATTTCCTTATAGTTTAAAGATTATTAAGTGATTATAAAGTAATAAATTCAGACATCATTCTAATATTCTAGGCGTCGCATGTAAATTCATGACTAGAGATGTCTACATAGCACACTGCTTTGGACATACAATTTAACGTCTACATATTTTTCGTCAACGTTGTCATGTTCTAAATACGAGAACTTACTACTTTCCATTAATACTGTAATGTTGACTGCGTTAACGTGACGTTTACACTACTTTCGTAAGCATGACATTATTCTTATACAGAAGACCCGACACTCACAATAACTGGAGATGTTTTAGTAGCCAACATTATACCGACTGTTCCAGAAGAATCCTGTCTCATTATAAGCATTCGGAAAGATGCAAAATGCTCCAACACGAAACAAAATTGTGACACTAAAACAATTAAACGGATCGTACAAAAGTTTGTCACGATTCCACCCAGCAACCGCATATACTTTCAGATGAACCTCAACCCGAGGCCTCAAGCTGGGAACTACATAATCCATGCTGTATTCAATCGAGGCTGGTGTCCTAAATTATTCGATACAGAAACTATAAGAATTGGTGACTATTCTAATGACAAGGGGAAAAAATTTGAGATCCCAGTATCCGGTAGCTTACAGTTGGACATTGTCATTTCGGCGTACATAAATGACGGTAACGACATTATGAACTTCTGTGTACATTTTGGATATGACAAGCAATTAAGGTTTTGGCTCAATCTTAAAGACTCATTGTTAAAAATAGGCCTTTGCGAGCGTGGCGACGGTCCAAACAATGGCAGTAATTGATTTTAGACAGTCTAAAAATGCATTATGGAATGCTTATGTAGCGCAATGGCTCATTGTTAGCAATGAGTCTTTAACAATGCTCCAATTCTCTGTTCCGGGCAATTTCTCATCTTCACATTTGCCAAAAACGGATCATAGAATTGGAATCTTCAAGTTGAAATTGGTCTGTTGTAGACAGAATAAGCTTGAAAATTAAGAACAATTTAGGATACCACCGGAGGAGATCGACTATATGGTGTTCTATGTTTTCTTTTGAGCTAATAGCCCCGTGGAGTACTGCGTTTATCAGAATTTTAGGCAGGATCTGCAATCCATTCGTAAGACTTGAAAAAAGAAAAAAGTATTGTATAATTATTGAATTCCACTTTTGTGATGGTGGGAATTGGCTGTTGTGCGGCACTACCAGGTCAAATCAAGCAACTGCGTGTGAGTTATGTGTTCTTTTCTCTTGCTGCGTCAGCTACTGATTGCATTCAAAGCATTACATCTTCTTTTCTAGTTGACAGAAATTCTGTGCTAGTTAAAGGTGAGGTCACTCTTGACAAAAACGAGCAAGATATTCCAAATGGATCCTGCCTTTCTATCAGTTTACATGAAAATCTTTCTTGCAAAAGAGTTGAGAATTGCAGCGAACAGCCTCTAATGCGATTCTATGTTAAGGGACTCGACAAACTGCCTTCCGACAAGATACCTTATGAAGCGACCATCAAACCAAGGCCTAAGCCTGGAAGCTATATTCTAAGTGTGGTATTGAACCGAGGCTGGTGTTCGGAGGGATCGAGTGAATGGATTCGAGACGGTGACCTCTTTTTGAACGAAGGGCAAAAGTTAGAGATTGGAGCAGCTGGAAGCGTCTATAAAGATGTTTCGATCACCAGATACTACCAAGGTCAATAATTAGTTATTTGTTGTTCAAGTTCCATAGTTTGATGGTTTTAGCACAGTATTATAAAGCCTCCATGTCAAAATTCTTCATCAATTCAACAAGTAGTTTGAGCTGCCGCTTTCTGTCATTTGAACTTTAACTCTGATTATGGTAATTGACAGACAAAAAAAATGTTAGCATATGGTAGGTTCCACCTGAAATCACTGAAGACTAATGCCTGAATTTGCCAGCAATTTTGGCTTTTTCACAGTGTGGTGCTATTTGAGTAGGCGAGCAATTTCGCAGATTCTCGCAAATAAACCAGGTAATGTTACACTATGTGAATCATTGCTGTGCTGTGTTTTCTTTTTGAATTTCAAGTCCATCATTTGTGTCCAATGTCTTAGCTTTTAATTGACTAAGCTTTTACTAGACGTTCTTCCACTCAGTTTAATTTGTTCAAACCATAATCCAAACATGATTTCCTTTTCATGACCGTAGGACTGCCTTGCCCAATAAAAGACGGACGAAAGATTGCTGATGGTGAAGATGTAAACAATAATGGACATGGGTGCCAGGGGTGCCAGTGCAAAAATGGAACAATTGTGTGCAAATCTGTTGTCTGCCCGGTTACTAAATGTGACGATGGGCACTTTTCGATAGAAGACGGAGATTGCTGCCCTGTTTGCATCAGAAACCTTCAATGTAAAAAGAAAGCAAAATCCTACTCAATTGGCCAGAAACATTTCAATCGGAAAGCGGGATATTGCGAAACATGCACATGCAATGTAACTGGGACTTTTACCTGCAAAAGAGAAACATGTCCAGCTCCAAGCTGCCGACGAGCATTTTTGATTAGCAGCTCTTGCTGCCCTGTTTGTCCGTCAGACATCAAGTGCAAGGACCGACAGACTGGTAAGATTTGTCGGGTGACAGAAATATGCGTTCAGGGATGATCCCACAAGATATGATTGCCCTCCCCCTATTTTGCCGCGAGTACCAGCTTTGATATTAGGCAGGGTTTTAGTACCTGAAGTAGGGGTAATAGTATTTTCCTGAACGATAATTTGTGTAGATAAAACGTGTAGATATAATGCTTTTTCCTTATCGCTTTTGTGCACGTTGGAACTAATAAAATGGTTCCTATCAAACAACTAATTGCTATAAACATGGTTTTACTCTGCAACCTTTTTTCTAGTTTGCGTGTTATTCTAACAAATATGTACTATTTTTTCCTTAGCCATGCTTTATAAGGCGGGTGAGACTTGGCTCGGAGGTAAGGCCAACAGTTGCTCCAAATGCAAGTGTGTTGTGAAGCCAGAAAGCAGTGCAATTGGTTATATTGAATGCACCAAGCCAAGTTGTCCGAAGCTCAATTGTGTACAGCAAGTCTTTCCAAAGGGTATGTGTTTTAGTTAGTTTTGTTTACCCTAATGTTTCGTCCACTTCTGCTTTCGAGGGAAACATCATTTGAAGTTTTTGCTATTTACAACATATTTCCAGCCATTTGAATTAAAGAGGAGAGGATTTATTCTTCAATCAATGTAGATGGTTTCATTAAGTCTTTTTGATGCTAAATTTTCATAACCTAATTTTCAGGGTACTGCTGTCCAGTCTGTCTTAAAGAAAATGCAAATGGTCCGTTCAAGGAAGAGGATGTCAGTTACCTCAAGGCTCTCATATTCAACGAAGTAGTTTCCTCAGAAATATCATGCTCCGACCCAGCTACAGGGGCAATTTTCAATGAAGGCGAACGATGGAGGTACAGGTGCATGAATTATGAATGCTCAAGGTCAGGAATCCAGTCATTGCCGGTCAAATGTCCATACTTGACATGTCCAAAAGCCTATCAAGTGAAAAAGTTTGGTGAATGTTGCGCGACCTGTAGCCCAGAATGTAAGTACAACGTTGAAAATTCAGATGAAGACAAAGAAGCATGCAGTTTTAAAGAAAAAATACATTTCATGCATGTTCCTGGGATATATAGGGAATTCTTTTTGAAAAAATAACCGTTGTTGTTGAAGAAACATTGTCATCTTTGTTACTCAGTCTTCTCATTTACCTAGTGATTGCATTAAGGGTAAGACTCGTAAGAGATTAAGTGTGAATTGTCACTTAAACCCTTTTTATTCTGCACACGAAAGTTTGTACAGCACAGTCTATGCGGCATTGAGGACTATCAAACTGGCAGATAAACAGTATATAAATAGTCTTTAGCTCAGTGTCATTAGTCGCCATTGTGTAACTTCTAGACCCTTGAATTTTAGGCCTCCCAAAGCTTCTTTGTACAAGCGAAGCAATTATCTTAGTGGTGCCCAAAACATTTTTGCCGCATACAAAGGCAACTGAACTTGTTTTTGGCAATGGTGACTGCGTTGCAAGGGGTAATTCCACTCACTTGGTGCTAAAGGCCGGATTGCACAATTGTGGAACGCGGCAGGACAGTGGTAATGGGATGTTCTTCAATTATACTAACCTAGCGTATACCCGCGAGGACAAAAATGCGGTTATCTCGCGTGTTCGACTGGTGAAGATTCCAGTCGCGTGTACGCTTCCAGCACAAACAGCCAGTGTCATGTCGAGGCAGTTTATGAAGAGAAACCGTCCTGCGTCTGTTGTTAATCCCATACCAGAAGATACCGGGCCAATTGAAGCTTATGATATTTTCATGAAAGTCACAGATGAGAATGGAGTTGAGAAAGCTCCGGGAAAGGCAATTGAGTTTGACAGCCCCGAACGAGTTTACATAGAGATAGATGGAAGCGGGCTCAAAGAGAACAATCTCACTGTCAGGGCAGACTATTGCTACCTAACGCCAACCCCAGGACCAAAGAGCGAAGTTAACTATACTATCATCAAAGACGGGTAAGATTCCCATCTACCTTCTATTGTATATACATTCAGTACAAACCTTAATTTCCTAATAATACCTGATGTATAGGTACTTCAGTATCTCATTTTGATCTGCATCTCTAAGACCTTTTTTTTAAAAGAAGGCTATTTTTCTCTGTTTCCTTTCAACCAAAGAAGGCATATAACAAATACATGATGACCATGGGATATTTTCCTAATATTGTGTTTTGCCTTGAGGTAATTTAAAACTTGATTTCCATAAACTTCCATTGGAATCGTTAAAGCTTTTCTCCCCACTCCTACCTCATTCGTGTAATTCGTAAAATTCGAACCGAATTTCTAATTCGAACCAGTTCTCTTTTGCAATATCTTCCCTGCATTTGGACGTCACTTTGTCGCTAATTCATTGAGGTTATTTCATTTTTCAGTTGTGCTGTTGATCCTACCGTCGTGTTCCAAGAAACCACTGGAACCGGTCAGAGGTTCTCCTTTAGGTCACTCGTGTTTGCCAACCCAAAAATGCCGGGATTCTATCTACATTGTGACAGCGTCACATGCCCAGTTGGCGATGTCAAGTGTAGAAAAGGCTGTCGCCAAAGAAGAGCATTAGCTTCACAAAAGGATGAGTTAAAGTTTATCATGCGCAAGAAGAAGACTGATCATAAAAGAGTCATGAAACTCACCTTACATGTGATGGTGGGCTGATTTGCGTGTTTCTTTAGTGACTATTGTTAAGAATACACTGTACCTACTGCTTTAGAGCTTTTTAATATTCGGAAGATAGTTTTTATGCTTCAGTAGAACTGAAATAGTTAAGTCATAAATAAGGCTAGTTAGCGATAGCGAAATACCTCTGTTTAAGGAGGTTTGGGTAGATTACGAGGGGTAAGAAAGGTTTGGGTACTATGACCTCTAGATTCTTATGTAAAAAGTGCAACACTCTTGGTGTTTGGAAGGTCTGAGACGCCTAAAGCTTGCTTTAATTCCTTTAGAAAGATAAGAAAAAGGAATTCTATTAAGAGAGTAATCCTACTAAGAACTGTTTGGAAGCCATTGCTTCTACGGAAGAATATTACGGGCAAAAAGGTATACACCACTAGAATCCGTTGCTTTTACATAAAGGCTTGCAATGTGCTTTTCCTGAAAGGTCCATCTTTGGCATTTTAAACTATTCATTTTGCCATATCCGTTATCATTACTTCAAATTTTTAGCTTTATGGTATTAGAAATTATTTAATCTTCACAATGTTTCGTTATCTTAATATCACGTCGTCTAGCCCTAAAGAAACCTTGCATCATTGCGAACAAAACGTTCCTTTGTGTTCACGTGTTTCTTAAAGGCCCAAACATAATGCTGCAACAGCCTTGGATCATGTTGTTGCGCAAAATTAGAGCAATAAATCGATCCATATTTCGCTGAAGATTCTTACAGCATTTTGATTTAAACAAGAATGAATAGAAATCCAAAAGATGTTTCTTTGAGAGACCTTTCGCTCGTTTGGTTTTATCAACCTATTTTGCAGCTGCACATAGAGTTACTACAAAAGCTGTTGCATTGAAATATGTCCATTGAATATCGACTCCTTTTCTAATATATCTAATACCGTAATAAAAGTTCTTCATACGTAATGATAACCACGTTTGTTAGCATTCATATTCGAATTCTTTGTATTTATATCAGCGATAATATTTTTATGTAGCAATCAAATCAGTAGACTTCTGTCCGAGTTCCAAGAATACTTGTAGTTAATGAAAGATTCTTGAAAAAAACTGCGTCTTTCAAAACTGATTTTGAAAGCCTTTTCTGTCAGCTTGTCCTTAATGCTCGCTGTGCTAGAGACCGCAATTGAGCTTGTGAGACCGTTATAATCAGAATTGCTAGAAAAGAATTGAGCATTTCCAAAGTTTCCGTCTCAAGTTACAATAATCATAGACTTTTCCAAAATTATTTCAAAGTTAAGTACCAACATTTGTATTAATTGAAAGTGCTGATGAAGAGCGTACGAAACAACCGAAAATAAGTTATAGAGTAAAATTGCATGTATCTTTAAGCGTTTATCGGCAGATATTCCCAAAAACAAGATAAAACAATACAATTTTATTATTTTGTATTGATATAAGCAAGGCCTTGGCAAACTTGGGGGAGGACAATATTATACTTTTCAATCTTCCAAACATTACGTTTTCAGCTCCTTAAGAGGACATTAACCTATCTATTTCTCCAAATAGAGACCCATGAAGTCTTGACGGGACAGGTTGGTTGCCAGGCTGGGACAGGTTGGTTGCCAACTGAAATTTAAGGGACCTCCTGTAGCCATTTTGGGTCCCCCTTGTGTATATATTCTTCTGCAGTGGGAATTATCAAGAAAATATTTTGGCTAAAAAAATGTATGAAAATTCAGACAGAAAAACTTTCACAACTGACCTTCCATGCCATTTCCGCAATGAGATAGAAGCAAAAAGGCACTAGAATAGGGTTGACTATGGAAAATTGATTGTTTTAACGAAATGTTTTCCAACGACTCACAACAATTTTAGCGCATTTTCAGTGTAGTGAAGCGAGTAGAGTTCAGAGGAAGCATAACTCAAGAATATGTAGCAACTTTTTAGTGTTTTTAAAACAAAATTTAAAAATTTGGCCCTTTTAGTCTATGCAGTTACAGGAGGAATCTTGCATTTGTCTGTCGAGTTTATGCAGTTGGAAAAGAAGGTGTCTGCATTGTTTATCTTGGCCAAGTATTACAGAAAAATTTTGAATTTTATTATCATATGATTTACTTTAAATACATTATTCTTGAAATTTTCTGTTTCTTATTTAGACCCTTATGTGGCATGAGCAGGAAAATCGGGATTCTTTAGACTTGATTATTTGACTTGATTATCTGATGAAAAATAACAAGCATTCGTCTGTGTAGTGGTTTGGATAAAGTATGAAAATATGAGTCATTCTATCAAATTGAAATTTGTTTGTAAAATATTAGCTCTGTTATCAATGCCCAAACAAAAAAATTTGCCCTCCTTTCGGTCCGCAATTTACAATACGACATTCGTTTACACATTCGGAGAGTTTTGGTTTGGTGTAGTCAAAGTAGATTTGTAATGCAATAACCAATTACAAAAAAATAAAGCCACACTATTGAACTTTGTTTCAGTTGCTAAAGAATCCTAAGAAAGTCCTCCATTTTCAGAAAACATATTGGTTGTGACAGTGAACACACTTAAACCCAAAAGTAGACATTCAAGAAACTTGACGAACATTCAAAGCAAAAACTCTTTTTTCTAGAGAACAAACTCAATAACAGAAAAAACTCAAAACAAAACATATATTAGTATATTATTAAGCCATACCCACCTGCAATATTTTTCAATTTCCCGCAACATTTTCAGAGAAACAGATCAAAATCGACACAGCACTCGAAGCACACATTCAACTGGAAAACTACCTAAAACTTGCATATTTGTACTCGAATAACTTTTTCAAATGTGAATAGAATTTGACTAAACTTCACAAAACATCATTAAATAGCCTACCACACATGTTTCTGGAGGTCTTTTGAATCTCTGACATTCTGGGGCAAAGCTCCGGAATTGACTCCCATACTGAAGCCTTATAAACAGGTAACAACATCCCGTTGTACTCGAATAACTTTTTCAAATGCGATCAGAATCTTTTTTCATATGAATTCAGCTTTATCTGAATCATGCACGTGAAATCAGTGACCGAGATCACAAGGAATTAGACAAAACCTTTTGAAAGGTGATTTAACACATGTTGGTTCTCTCATCAGAAAGCGAGTATTTGAGAGTAAAAAGGAAAGGTAATATTTGTGATAAAATAGAACAGGGTTCAGTTGAACACAATTTTATCTATTTAATGACTACTTCGCAATATATGCAATGTACGTTCTTTTTCTAACGTTATTTACATTATCATTTAAATGAAAGTTGACGAAACAACAATTATTATTTATTTAATATACTTTTACAATGGCTACCGACCTCTCTCTATCTTCCCCTTAACTAGCAAATACAAATCAATTTCACTTCTTTTTTCTAACTTCTAACAAAAATTTGAGCTGAAATTCCATTCAATCAACAGCCGATCAGATAATTCAAAAACTTGAGATAATATTATCAACTTTGTGTGTGTTTATGCAAAACTCGAACTATAGTTAGATAATATCAAGGTTTGTAGCCCGGCAATAAAGCGGCGAACGTTTCTTAGCTGAAAGTTTTTTTGCTAATCATCTGCTGCGGGGCTAATTTTCTTTATTGATATTTCTTTTAAATAAAAAAGGGTAGAAATGGGATGCCACATAAAGATGCTTCTATGGCAAACAAGTTTTTAGATGCTTCTATAGACACATAAAGATGTTTCTAATATCTAAATAACAGGGCTCAAATGTAAGGTGCTCTAAGGGGCGCAATAAACACTACGTTTTATCAAATGTGTACTTCAACATTGACCTTGTACGCGTTTTAAGGCTTCAAGGTAAACAGTGTTTGTTGGTCCGTCAGTAGAATACAGTCCTCATATTGCATCTTCATAGGTTATTTAGGTTATTTTATATTTTTTCATTAAAAAATATGTTAGTTGTTCCGGAACAAGGAAATTGTCAATAAAATCTGCTCTACTGTGCCCAAAGAGCCTGCATATCTCATGGAGATACTCCTTTATCTGACCAGTTATTGCAAAATTGTCTGTTGCCACTTTTCTTTTGATTAGAATCTTTTTCTTAATAGAGATAATTGACTGCCCAAAGGTTTCGCGCAATTTATATACAGATTCACCATTAGCCAAACCATGGTACACTCTGCTAGTCTGCTACATAGAATCATCAAAGCCGAAATTCGCTCAGACAATTCGTCGTTTGACAACGCAATGTCCTTACCACAGGCAGTCAATCTAGATATGATGCTGTTCCATTTTTCAAATACTCAATGAATTCGTCTACAAAAGCAGACGATGCCAAAAACTCTTCTGTCTTGTGGGACTGAACAAGTTCTGAATCTGAGTCTGTGTCACCGTCACTGCTATCTTCTAAAGCATCTTGATACGTTTTGTAGGTCGGATTTTTTGCCTTACTTTTAAAGAATGCTTTGCGAAGTTCATCAGCAGACAAGCAATTGCTGCCGTCGGAATCCCAGTCACAAACTAATTTTGTGTGCTTTTCGTTCCTCCTCTTGGACAAAAATTGCTGTAGCATTTCAAATGGTCTTAATGAATGATCAAGGATTTTCTTATCTACAAGGGAAATTTTTGCTTTTGCACTCCTTATGCTGCTCCAAAGCGCTGCTGTCTTAGAACCATGATCTTCTACATAGCACGCCCCTTCCAATGAACCTACAACTATCCAGTACCGTATAGCTGCCAGACATTCAGGAAACACAGTTATATCGGAGTTCGTTAATAAATTATAACCGTTTATGCAAGTGAACACCCCACAGCTCTAATCATTGTCTTGTTGCTGCAGGCCTACTGCACTTAGTTCTAAAAATTGCCATTGGCTTATTTCCTCTGTTTTATGTGCAAAGGTCAACGCTTTGCAGAGGTACACATTGATTGCAGTAAAGCCTGCTTTTTACTTCTCGCATTCCCCGCAAAATCGCAATGGGTTATAATTTTTTTCTTTTGGAGACATGGCAATAATGCTCCAATGGCCGTTTCTTGCAATCTCGTGATTAAAAGGAATTAAAACGATATCTGCGGTAAAAATTATGTCTTGATGTTGAATTGAATTAGATAATGTCCAGTTTCTCGCTTTTGTAATATTGCCAGAATGAATTGCGTCGGTAGCAGCTCGACATGACATTTGTCGACCACGCAAAATGCTAAATACCTAAGAAACGCGTGAATAGCATCACCATGGATGTTTCCATTACCTATGATTGATTTCAAGGATTCGAGAGGGAGATTGGCATTGGGCATCAAGCCTCAAAAAACATCTTCAAGGTGATCAACGCTGAGCAAGTTTAGAGCGATTTCCCATGGAAGTGTCGCTTTAGAAACTTCTTGTTGCAAAGCGTTATCATTTATGTACACTAACAAACGACAATTTTCTTTGCATTCCCTTCTTTGGTGGTGAGGGTTGGTTAAAACTGGTATTTGTTTGCTATCATCAAATTTAATTCCTTGTCCACACCTTGTCCTTGTCGAGAATAGCACAACTAATATTTTTACCAAGATGGGATAATGCAGCAGCAAGACGATATGAACCAGAATCACTACTGTGTTTACCTGGCAATAAATTTTTGATGCTGATTTTTTCATTTACCATGACAGGGGTATGCATAACGGTTGGATCATTGCTACCCCTTTCGATCAACAAGAGTAGTGCATCTGGCAGTGTTAAAATTGTTGGGGGGACGAGCGAGCGAAAGTCTTCAAATGAGTGAGGCAACCCTCCGTCCTGGATTCAGAGAGCATGCGTAATAATAACTTCGTTCTGTGCGCATGCTCTTTGATTCCATGACGGAGGGTTGCCTCACTTTTTAAAAAACTTTCTCTTGCTCGTCTCCCCAACAAAAAAAGCAAGTTCTGGTTTCTAATTGCAGTTGGTTTATGGGGCAAAAAGTGTTGAAAATATTTCGCTTTGTTGCATAATCCAATGTGTTTGGAATACAATCTTGCGATATAGGAATCAGTAAGACAACTTGTCCTTGGACATTGAAGTCACTTTTTCCCACATGCTCTACAAACACTGACTGCTAAAGTATTACAAATGAAATTTTTACCAATCTCGTGAAAAAAATTATCCAAGTCCTCTTCAAAACTCAATGCGTCATCGTGTTACTCTTTGGTCGCGATTCCTGAATTTTCTTACAATTATTTTCATATCTGTAGTAAATTTGAGAGAAGTGGAAGCTTCGTTGCAATTTTGTAGTTCATTGCGGAATTTTAAAAGTGACTTACAAACGTCTGTCTGGCATGATTCTTGTGACGGGAGAAGTTTGGAGAGCATTGAGCTACAAATGATATGAAAACCAATATGTTTTCTGAAAACCAATACGGAGAGACTTCCTCGGATTCTTTAGCAACTGAAACAAAGTTCAATATTGTGGCTTTAATTTTTGTAATTGGTTATTGCATTACAAATCTACTTTGGCTACACCAAACCAAAACCCTCCGAATGTGTAAACGAGAACGCGAATGTCTAATCGAATGTGTAAACGAATCAGGGGCGTAACTTGACCAAAAGGTTTGGGGGGGGGGTGAAAAGGATTTCTGCCCTGCGAAAATGAGTGGTGCCCTGCAGACCTCGTAGCAAAGATTTATCTATAGGTTACTAGTGAAAGCTTTACCAGTGTAAATTAGTCTTTACCAAGAACAAACTCCTAAGCAATAAAAAAAACTTGAAACTTCATTGCCTATTAAATATCTTTTTTTTACGTGAGCGTAAATAAAATGTCAAATTTGATTTTCCTTTGTAATAAAGCTTGTATTTCATGGCATATCAAGTTTAGTGAGGTAGGAGGACCCACCATGGTTGGGTCCGACGTGAAAATTTTTTTTGAAATTATACCTTGTAAAAGGGCTAAAAAGCATCTCCCAGACTAAAATTTAGCATAATACTATAATGCTAAAAAACTGATAATTTTTTATTTGAAAAATAGGGAGGGGGATGTCATGCCAAAACGCTAGCGATAGACGTTGGGGAAGGAAAGAAACGGTAACCTTTCGCTTCAGATTGCACATAGTTGTGAATGACAGAGCAATGTTGTTTTGATTGGGAGAATTTCATTTCCTAAACAGAATGTGCAGTTTCTTATCTCGAGAAGGCCATGTTTACACTTCCAAAATAAAAACATTGCAATGATACAAAAAGTGATTTACTGAATTAATGTAAATAAAAAAAATAATAGAAATACATGAATAAGTTAGCAATTAGATCAAACAAAATCGGCATGTCTTTTTATCTAACACTCTGTTAAAAAGTTATAGAAAAAAGGACCAAAAATTCTTATCTTGACCAAAGTGGGGGCCTTCAGCCCTCTATTCCCCCAGCGCCGTACCTGTCATGAAAATAATTTACAACTTAAATTAATTTGTGTGGAATCAACCTTGCCCTCATAAACTTATGCATCAATCACTGCATCAAGATTTTCGGTAAGGAATGCTTTCGCTCTGCTAATAACGGAGCTCTTCCTGATATAACTGTTCCGTTCTCTTAAATGCAATGTCAGGAAGGGAGGTTCATAACAATTATAATACTTCCATTTCAAAATTCGTAAACGGCCCTTTACGAACTTCAGAGATGGCGTTTCTGCATGGCAATAAAGCTCTTCTTGGCGCCCTGCGAATTCTTCGATTGCCCTGCGAAATCGGCTGATTTTAAGATTGGGGGGGGGGGGGTGTTACCCCGGTATTTTCGCCCCTGAAACGAATGTCTCGCATTGTAAATTGCGGACCCCTCTTTTCGGCTTTTTTCTAGAGTTAGGCCTAGATAAATAGATATTTCATAGGGTTTATGTAAACCAAGAAAAGAAAAAGTTAGGGCTATCAAGTCACATCAATGTTCAAATAAATTTAAAACATGATATTGGAGACACTAAAAGTGTTTGCTATATTCCTTCGTTATAAAACAGATAAATTATTATTTGGTGGAATTTCGATGAGACGGAAAACACCACACATACCAATATCGACATTAATCGAATTATTTAAGCACACTTGAGTACAATATAAGGTCACTCACCAAATTCACATCGATATTCGAAGGAGAAGTAAAAGAAATCAATCCTGACTTTCGCCAAATTTTTAAGGGCTAGGACTTACGAGAGCTCAGTTTGAAGGAAGTTCATTTTTCTAGCTATTTAAAATGGCCGCCAAACCACTGCTTTTAAACGAGGATTAGCCTCTGTTTGAAAATCACGTTGAAGTGTTTTGAAAAGAAAGAGGAAAGGTCTGAATATGAGTTTTCGAATTGGAAGCCATATATCAAATCCCCAGATCAACATTGTAATACTTGGGGGTGGAATATCAGGGTTGGCAGCAGCACATTCAGCTATTTCCTCGCGCAAGCCTGGAGTTTCAGTCACATTGCTGGAGGCGAAACCCAGATATGGCGGATGGGTTGAAACTTTGCATTATGAAGATGGCTGCACATTTGAGGTTGGCCCGCGAACTATAAGACCAGTTGGGCTTCCAGGAAAGCGAACTTTAGAGCTTGTAAGATTCTTCATGTGTGTGTGATCTCATTTCAATTTGAAATACAAATGCTTCCAGTTTCCAACACCAAAATAAAAAGAAACTAATTCAATTCGAATAACAAAATAATAATAAAATTTTTCCAAATTGTAAAATTGATCAAACAAAATTAAAATAAAGTCAAAAAATGAAAACATTCTAAAATGACACCAAAAGATATAGCTTGTTGCAGCAGGCTTTAACAAAGGGTAGCTGGGCAGCGGCATGATCCGTCTGCAGTGTTCATAATTGGCACACCTTTCAGGGGTGGGGAATTTTTTGATCTACCATGCATGGGGATGACCTGTCTTTATCTCCAAAAGACTGTTTATCTTTATACAGGGTAAATGTCAGGCCATCAAATTTTTACTGGAAATGCCCACCCCTGTCATGAAAGTTCTGTGTTGGGAGACCACAGGCCATCTGTGGAGACCACTGAAAGAGCTGCTGGTCTCCTACCAGGGGACTACCTTTTTACCAGAATTCTCAACCCCTGCTTTAACAATTATATGGTGGGAGAAAGGAATTTATCAGTGGTATGTTGTAAAAACATGTTAACTTGTCATGGGATTGAATTCTTATTTTGTTACCCAAAACTGTTTTTGTGCCAGAACTTGCCAATTCTCTGCACACCATCCTGGCAGGGCCATGCCTTAATGTTTGACTGTATTCCATTTAAAATCACAAGTGTGCTGTGCAGTGTCTCATTAAAACAGTTTTTTCAATACTCTCCATCACACAATAACAAGCTTTCTGTATATAATGTACTATTGATAACATCATAGACACCACCTCAAACTTTAAAAGGGATTTTTGAAAAACAAGATTGAACAAATTTCTATCAACAGTTTCAATTATGATGTATTTTATATTGTGGTATTTCATTTGTGGTAGTATTTAAATCAAAAAATCTTTTGAACAGATACCAGATATCTTCCATCACAATTTTTTTGTTCCAAACTCATTGATAAATAGCAGTGAACACTGATTTCAAAAATTGATGTTTTTCATGTTTCAGGTCTCAGAATTGGGCCTTGAAACTAAAGTCATCCCAGTGACAAGACAACATCCAAGTGCTTCAAAAAGATATATCTATGCCAAAGGAAGAATTTGTTTACTCCCAAACAGTTTGGTTTCTTTATTTACCAAGCAGCCACCTCTGACTAGTTCAATTGTATCATCATTGATAAAGGAACCTTTTCAAACAAAGTCAGCAGAGCCAGATGAAACAGTCCATTCATTTTTCAAAAGAAGAGTAGGCAGTGAGGTGAAGTGTACAACTTTGTTGTTACATTTTGATATAATTACTGGCACAATATAATTTGCTGGTCAAGAGGAAATAGGCAAAATTTGTCTGTTTTTTTTAACATATAATTTTGTTTTATACACAATGTCTTAATGCTGTATTTTTGTCAGTATTATTTGATGTAGGGGTTCAAGGAGTAGGGGTGTACCGGATCAGGATTTTCAGAATCCGGCCGGAACCGGATTTACCGGATTTCTTCATGGAATATCCAGCCGGATTTTACCAGATAATCTGGCCATTTATGGATTTTTCAGTAATAAAAAGTTTTGAGTCACTTTGCGAGAAAATTTATAGCGAGAGGATCAAAGAGACCCATTCAGGGTTGCCAGATTGAATTTACAAACGAAGGCTAGTCTGGTGAGCAATTTAAGCCAAAATGCTCATAAAAAGGCCAAATCAAAAACTTTCTCAAGAATCCATCAAGCCGGCACTGGTTATTTTTCTACGCTTGTGCCTGTTAGGTAATTTCTACGCTTGTGCCTGTTAGATAAATTAGATAAGAATCTTACTTTTTTCCAAAACCCTTTGCTAATATAAAGATAATATTTAGGTTAGGTAATAAAATTTGAAATTTGGTTAACACTTTGTAGTTAACTACTAATTATTCCATGAATGTAGTAATTACTTATTAATTTTAGACGCTCTGCTGAAAAGGACAACGAGGTCAAATTTGAGTATTAAGCAAAAAACAATTTTTTCAGGCAATCTAAATCTAAAATCCAAAAAAGAAAAATTTGGCCTAAAAAGCCAATCTGGCAACCTTGGATCAAATTTGTGAATTATATCATCCAGTCTTCCTGTTTCGTGATGACGAGCACTTTCAATTCAAATCTGTTTTCAAGGCGCTTGTTTTATCATAAAAATGTTATCGTCAAGTTAGTGTAGTTATTTTTTTATTGATTTGAAACATGAATTTGCTTTTTCAAGCTTGTAGAGTTTGTCAAAGTTCAAGAGTTATAGACGTTGAAAAATTGTGTCACTTTGTGCTGTGTACGGAGCAAAGTCAGCTACTCTGATAGCTTTTCGTCAGCTGTGTTTTAGAAGATCTAAGGTTGATTTGTTTGCACATCAACTTACAATAATATTTTTGAAGAGAAGCGATCAAGACTTCTTCCAAGGAATGGCGAGAAGTTGCTTTTCTTGCATCACAACCTGGGACAATTGTAGCTTTTCTATGTTTGACTGTTTTTATGTTTATGTTTGACTGGGACGCTTCTTTTTAACTTTTAAAACTTCGTTCAAGTTTGTTCTATTGCTTTTAATTTTTGTTGTTCTTTGTTTATACACTAACTTGTTTTCTCTAGAGATTTTCTTAGTTATGATTAAAATTCTGGAAAATCCGGCAACTGGCCGGATTTCGGAAACAAATCCGGCCAGAACCGGATTTTCAAAAAATCAGCGATCCGGTGCCGGATTATCCGGCCTACCGGATATCCGGTACATCCCTATCAAGGAGTTCAAGGGGGTTTGAGTCCCTGACATGACCAAAATTTCACCCACAGCGAGGGGAGTTGCCAACTCTCTACAATCCCAGGTTTAGGGATCATGAGATGTGGCCACATCAAGAGGAAGGGCCAGGACACTGCTCGATTAGCAAATCTTCTCAATGCACTAAACAAACCTTTAGATGGTAGTTAGAAACAAATACAAATACAAATAATAATCTCAGTTTTTTTACATTGTCACTAGATAGCTGATTATTTTGCTGATGCCTTTTGCCATGGAATATATGCAAGTGGATCTAAAGAACTTAGTGTTGGCACATGCTTTCCATCTCTACTGGAATATGAAAGACGTTATGGGTCTCTTTCAATGGGAGCTTTGTTTTCAAAAAAAGGTAATCATGCAGATAAATATTTTTTATTTCATATTTTTTGATTTTTTATTGATAATGGATATTGGACAATCTGTATAAAATATTCGAATATTGAGTGTGTTTATCAAGCCTTTAGCAGGAATTGTACATGAAGCACAGATCATCGTCTAATATCACCATATCTACATAGCATTATAGTGGAACACCGTAAAAACTCTATTAAGCACCCCTTTCTACGAAGCCCCCCTTTCTATTAAGCCCTTTCTCTTTAGCCCCTGATGTCAAACATACAAATCATGCACATTTAGTGGGTCTCTTAAGGGGTGTGATGATGCTAAGATAGTGTGCATTAAATATGGCCTATGTAAAGATTAACTTATGCAGCTTAGTAGTCAGTCGAAATTTGTTTTGGGGATGTCCAAGGGTTTTCAATTTATCCTGAGTGATGTTTATGAAGACCTTATAATTGATTGATCAAACTTTTGAAGCTGCTTGCAAAGTTTTTTGAGAACATTTGTATGACATTTTCATAACAAAATATGGCCAACGGTATTTTTAAAACTTTTTTGCTTCAAATTCTTAATAAGCCCCTCTCTCCTTTTCAAGGCCCCCTCTAGGACTGAAAAAAATAAATAAGCCCTCTGGGGCAGTGGCAGACACTTGGGGGGGCGACTGCCCCCCAATACTTAAGAGAACAATGGTCTTTTGTTCTAAAACAATGGGAAATGTGACATCATCTTATTAAAACAATAGGCTTGCCCCCCCCCAATATTTGACCAAGTGTCCGCCACTGCTCTGGGGGCTTAATAGAGCCTTTACGGTATTTTAGAAAGGAGTTTGAATATAAAGATCAAGAGATGAATACTTCACAAAGAGATGACAATGTCACAAAAAACTATGATAACCCAGATAGGGCTTTATGAGAAAACTATTGCCCAGGTATGAAAGTTGATAAAAAACATAAAGTTGTGTGTGGTACTTCATCCCAATAGTGACAATATTATCCAAAAAGCAAATAAAACAACTTTTTTCTAGCAAAGATACCCCTGGATGACTGTCTGCTATACAAAAGAAGTCAAAAAGAGAAGTGGAGTATTTGGACACTGAAGGATGGGCTTCAAGGGTTTGTTGAAGCATGGAGCAATTATCTTGTTGAGAAGGGCCTCAATACTAGGTTGAATACAAAATGTCATTCATTAATTTTCTCTGAGAACAATAAAGTCTTGTGCCAAACAGAGGATGGGGTTGTGGAAGCTGATCATGTTATATCATCACTTGCATCAAAAGATCTTGCAGCTCTTCTTCCAGATAGAAATCAAAAACTTTCTAACCTACTAAAAAAGATTCAAAATGTTACAGTTGGAGTAGTGAATTTGGAATTTGAAGGGAAACAGTTACCAGTGGATGGGTTTGGGCTCCTTGTCCCTTCTTGTGAAGCAATGGACATCCTAGGGATTGTATTTGATTCATGTGTTGTTGAAGATGGAAGAGGGAATACCAAATTAACAGTTACGTTACAATTTTTCCAGCAAAGTTTCATTATTATTGTTGTGTATTTTGTTACAAAAAACTCCAGTCATAAAGCAACAAGGGCAGATTTCGACTGGGAATATTAGAATACATTGTCAGTTTTTTTTTAATGCTTTACATTGCAATGGATCATAAGTTTTCAGTAAGGCAAACAGTGAATACAAGCGAGGTCACTAGATTTTAGGTGGAAACAAAGTTAATTTGTATATACCAGGCTTGTAAATTTTCAGTCTTGAGAGAAACAAGTTATCATTACTATGATTGAAATGTTGCAGAAACAACCAAACAATGCTTTGTAACCGCCAATTTGAGTTTTCCAGGAAGGTCATGGTAACAAAACAGGGCTGTTTCCCTTTGTTATGGAACAAATACTGAGAGTTTTATCTTGCTTTTCAGGTAATGATGGGTGGAAGCAAGTATGAAAGTTTATTTGGAAATCCTGATAATACTGACAAGGACTATTTATTGCACAGAGCATTGCAAGGTGTCACACAAACTCTTGGCATAAAGAAAAAGCCAATTAAGTGCTGTGTCTCAATACAGAAGGAATGTATTCCACAGTATCAAGTTGGTCATTTAGAATTGGTTGAATCAATTCACACAGAGATTTGCAAAGACCAGTTGCCACTCACAATTGTTGGATCATCATATAGAGCAGTTGGGATAAATGACTGTATTTTTAATGCACAAACTGAAGTTGAAAATATTATGAACTTTAGGTTTGTTTCTTGAAAACAGAAATCAAAAGTGCATATACAGTTTTAATCTTATAATCAGTAACGGAAAAAACAAAATCTTTGGCAAGAACAGAAAAAATTCAGAAGCACTGGTTTCTGTTCTCCATAACAAAACATTTTAAATATGACTTTCTACAAGCCTACAAACCATCTTTTGTTTAGTATCAATAAGTTTGTATCAATAGTCATAATTTTAGGCAAAGGCACAGCTAATCTTGCAAATTTACCAATCCAAGTTGCAATGGAATATCATCTTGTTTACTTGAACTGAAGCTAGACATATCAAAGTAACCATTTGTAACCAATTTATCTAAAATAACTAGTGGTTACTAGATACACTTCTGGAGTTGTTTGGGTGGAATTAGAATAATTGAAGATAATCTGTAAGCTTTAAGTAGGAGATTTTCAAATAAGAATACAAGTTGTGTACTATGAAACATTTTTCAAGAGTGAGACAAATATCGCTAGAATAGTCATAATCTGGTAAAAACTTATTATTGGATTTTCTACTTTAAATTCTTTTGTCAACAATCCATCATCTTTTGGCTTTGCTAGTATGGGATTGAAAAGAGTTGTAATCACATTATCAATGAATTTCTGTAGGCTAAAACTTTTGATACTGTGATCCACTTCTGTTTTTGTTGAACCATCTACTTCTTTTTACCTGACAATCCAGCACCAGCATTGAATTTGAAGAAAATTATATCACCATCTTGAACAACATAGTTTTTGCCTTGTTGCATGTATTTTCCTTTCTGCTTTACTGCACCTTCAGAACCAAGCTCTTTGAATTCATCAAACTTCATCACTTCTGCCATAATGAACCCCTTTTCAAAGTCTGTGTGGATCTTGCCAGCTGCCTGTGGGGCTTTTGTCCCTTTGAGAATGGTCCAAGCTTTAACCTCATCTTTTCCTGCAGTGAAAAAATATTCCAGCTGCAACAACTGGAACCCTGTCTTGATTATCTTTGGAAGAGCTGACTGTGCCTTACTTTCTTCTTGGAACTTCTTGCCTTCTTCTTCATCCATTTCAATAAGTTTCAGCTCAAAAGCCCCACTAAATGGAATAACAATTGCACCTGGGTCATTTTTATCAATCCATTCCTTTATTTTTGGCAGCCACTTGTTTTTCTTCCTGATGTAATCTTTTTCTGAGAGGTTGACTAAATAGATCACTGGTTTGGCTGTTAACAGAAGATGTTTGTTCAAATATTCTATATCTGTAGCACTCCAATGTGTGGAGAAGCGAATATGCTTCTTCTCCTCTGCTAGAGATGTATGAAGTGTTTTTAGAAATTCGAATTCTTGCAGTCCTTTCTTGTCACCTCCTCTTACAACTTTCTTCTCAAGTTCATTTATTCTTGCTGCAAGGTACTCTTCATCCTTCAGTCTTAATTCATCTCTAATTGTTTCTAAATCTCTGATAGGATTCACTTCGCCATCAACATGTGTGACGTCTTCTGCTTCAAAAGCTCTCTGCATATGAAATATTGCATCACATGCTTTAATATGCGAAAGGAAAGCATTGCCAAGTCCTTCTCCTTGTGAGGCACCACGCACCAAACCAGCAATGTCCACAATGTTCAAAAACGCAGGAACCTTGCTGACTGGTTTGTGATGCTCACAAAGAAAGTCATACCTTTCATCCGGAACAGGAACTCGACTCTCGTTGGGATTTATTGTACAAAATGGAAAGTTTTCGGCTGCTGCTTGACTTTTGGTTAAAACGTTGAAAAATGTGGACTTCCCAACATTTGGCACGCCGACAATACCACATTTCAGTGAAGTGCCAAATCTACCAAGAAGTGGTGTTACCTTCACTTCCTCCTTCTTCTTTGGGGGCATTTTCTTGTAACCACGCTGCAAGTTCAAGATAATTTGGAGGTTTAAAGCTGATCTTCTTGGCGCTAGGCCTCTCCCATACATTTAGCAACAGCGCATGCGTACAACCAACGTGGTTCCTAATAGCCTCGACTTCAACCAGCATGTTACCACCTCCCATTGGAACATTTCGTCACATGGTCTACTGTCCATATTAAAGTGACCTGGTGAGGATCAGAAACAAAAACGGGTTGCGTTTTTTATACAAATTTGAGTATCATAGGCATTGATAATTTACGATCACTATTATTTTAAAAATCTTGATTCATGTTTTTAAAAATCATCGATGAAATTTCGACATTTTACTGACGAGCCATTTCAAGTTATTTGAGCCATGCTCGAGCGTAGACAGTGCCACTCTTATAAAGCTTTTTCCAGCTAGTTCGCAATAAACAGTTAACATAACTCAAGGGGCATTATCCTGAACTTCGCCTGAATGTCCTCTTTTCACGTGTCTCTTTAACTTTATAGCAAAACAGTCACTTTTTGTTCTATTGTCCTGCCTCAAGGGGGCAAGTATAAACAGTGGTTTCTTTGTTAGTGAAAATAAGAAGCTAGGTGACGTAAGCAGGTGATTTTTTTCGATTTGAATGGAAGACACCTGGATCGTGGAATTTTGTTTCTTATGACACTCGATTTACCCTAGTTTGATTATAGCTCCAAGCCCTTTCTTCGCGGACGTCATTATTGCCAATGGTCAGATGCTCACTTTTGTAACGAAAATCTTCAAATTTAGGCCGTGGATAGATGCTTGTATTTTTATAATCTTAGGCCTGTTGTAATTTTCGAGAACTTGTTGAAAAATTGGCTTTTCTACAACGAAACACTATGGGTTGCTTATAATACCACTTGATAGCAGTTTTACAATATATTCCCAGGAACACGGTTTGGCAAATCTGTTTTATTTTTGGTAACACGAGAGCAATTTTTCAAAAAATGCCTTGCTTTTTTCTTCTTATTTATCGTCTGAACTGGACATATATTTCTACGTTTTCTTATTAAATGTTATTATGAGTGTAATACTGAAAGAAATAATAAGTGCACACACTTTCTTGTAAGAACCGGTAAATTGAGGTCAAGTCTGGCTGTTATCAGTTTCTTCAAAACTGCTAGGCTTTACATTTTTTTTATTTTCCCGGAAACCTAGTTACGAGAGCCTATCTAACTGAAGTTTGCGCACATAACACATTTTAGACCACTTTTGAGGTTCTTGATCTTATATAACTTTTATGCCTGTGTTCCTGTTCAGATATGATTTCAACAAGTCTATTTCGGCATATACTGTATAGTAACTATCCTTGCGATCAAAGCAAAGGTATGGTAAAGGAGATGAAAATTGACAAATGGCTCATAACAGCCGTCGTGCTGTCTCTAGACAACATCTCTGATGATCAGTCAATTTGACGAAAGACAAATGAACTTCTAAATCAAATTTAAACACGAAAGTAATAATGAAAATCATGGCATGAAATACAAGAAAAAATTTATTACGTACTTATTCTATCGTTTTCGCAACTCTGTTACTTTTCGATTAAATCGTTTAAAAACTCGTTGTTCCCAAAGTTCTACTTTTATATGGTTAGTTAATCGAAATTTCGGCCCAATGTTTATAGAAAGTTGAGCACACATAATAGCACACAAAAAGGTCTCTAAATACAGAAATGAAAAAGTAAAGCGATTATGTAGGCGTTTTTCATTGTCTTCAGTTTTGTTCGCGAACAAAAGCCAAAAAAATAAAAAGACACATTTAAACAAAATGATCTCAATAAGGAAAAATGCTTAACGTTGTTCTACTCCGCAACTTTCGAGCAATCAGGCTTTGCACCATGGACTTGTGTGCCCTTTCTTTTAAACCCGTTCTCGTCAAAACACCAGCAATAACCAGTTGATCCATGACACTGTACTTCTTTATACGAGCCATCTTCTTCGCACTGTGGCACAAATGCTCCTGGCTTAGGTTCCGTATTTTCACGTTCCCATTCGCATTTTGTCATATTTCCTGCAAGCAAAAAACTTTATCATTTTGCGTACAATTGGTGAGCTTAATCTAAACAGAATCCATAGCATCATTTTTTCTGATATACAATTTTCAATTGTGAGACCTCCACAATCAAAACAAAATAATTGGAAAATGGTTTATATTCTTGACAAATGAGGTAAAGTAGAATGGCAACGATTCTTACTAGGCCCACAGTTGGGTTGCTTGAACTGCACATCTGTACCCTCTAGTTTAACTCCATTCTCGTTCACACACCAACAATAGCCAGTTGATCCATGACACTGTATCTCTTTGTAGGAACCATCGTCTTCGCACTGTGGCACAAATGCACCAGGCATCGGTACAGAGTTTTCACGTTCCATTTGGCACTTGGTTTTTTGTCCCGATTCTACAAATTTCCGAAAATGTACTTGTGAAAGAGACCAAGCTAAAATCTACTAAATTACATTCATTATCAATGGAAAGATATCAGAGGGCAATGCCCGCATACTCCCTTATAAGTAAGCTGAGATCAATCACCTATTTTCTTTCAAAGACATAGCCAGTCCTTGAATCTGTTGCTTAAAAATACAAGCTCTGCTGAAAATTTCTACTACCCTTAATATTTTTACGTACGAGAGCTTGCTTGAGACCTCCATAGCTAGGAATAGTATTTTTTATAATCGATCAACAACTGAACCTTCAGTAATTGATTAGTGCGTCACCACATTTCAAATGTTCATCTGACCAGAAATTTTTTGTTTAATCTAAAAGAGATATGCTGCAAGTCGCACTAATCTGCATTGCTAAGAACATGAGATATGCTGCATAGAGATAGTGCTTGAGATATGTTGAGCCTCTGATGTCAGGAGATTCAGACCAAGTAAGTTTATCAAGATCCAAAGTCGTCCTCTTTCCATTGCTATCAATCAAGCAAGCAAGATTAGGAATAGAGATTTCTAATTTCTTACTTGAACTTTAAGTTTCCAAACAATCAGTCCTAAACCTAATCGCTATGAGTTCAGCTAAAGAAAAGACAATTTCCAACTTCCTCGATCTTTGTGTCTCATATCTACGGTTGACATTGCATAAATTTTTGTTCGTCAAATCAAACAGTTTCTGGCAAGAACAGATTCGAAATGACACTTAAACTGAGTACTGAAGAGATATCAAAACGGTCCCCGAAGGTATAGCTAGTAATTGCGAAGAATGTTTAGGGAAACCTTTAAGCCATTCAGGTGTATTCAGCCAAAGAACAATTGAGAGCAGTATCTTGATTTCTGTTTATCATTGTGTGTAAAATGTATGACCAAAATTATTTTTTTTTTGGTAGACAATCAAGTGCCACGATGTCATCATCTGCGTTCTTATGCGTGCGAGATTTCTGTCAAACTATAAATAAATATCTTTTCTCGTCTTATTTTTCCAATATAAACGAAAAACACTTGAAAGCCTAATCCTTAAAATAGAGTGAAAAGTTTATAGCCGTCAGACTGTTGGTTTTGGTGATAAAATGCGATTTGTCTACCTTAGCACTTAAATTAGTCTGAAATGACTATTGACACTTAGCCTATTAGATATCAGGCTACTAACACAGTATTTTCTTTGTCAAAAGTTTCTCAATTAAATTTTTTTATACTAGTGAACCCGCTCGATAATGTTTTGATGCATATTTGATCATTGTGGTACAATTCTGACAGAATAATTGGAAAAATTATTTTTTTCTTGAGAATTCAGGTCAAATAGAATGACAATGATCTCTTACTAGCTCCACAGTCAGGCTTCTTGAATCGCTCTTCTGTACCCTCTTTTTTAACTCCATTCCAATCAACACACCAGCAAAAGCCAGTTGATCCATGACACTGTACCTTTTTGTAGGAGCCATCCTCTTCGCACTGTGGCACAAATGCTCCTGGCATTGGTAGAGTATTGTCACGTTCCATTACACATTTCGTTATTTGTCCTGATTCAACCAACTTTCGAAGAAATGCTTGTGAAAGAGATCAAGCGAAAATTTATTAAAATCACCTATATAATAGATATCAGAGGGTAATGCGCACGGACCCCCCAATCAGTCGGTCTAGATCTCTGTTGCGAACCCCTTGCATTATTTGTTATTTTTCACTCCCCAGAGGTCGATAAATAGATTAAATAAAAAAATATCATGACTGCATTAATTTAATGAATCTGTGAAAATCGATTTATGAAAACTTTCAAGGTGGTTAAATTAATGCTTTTCTGGGGCTGTTTGTTCATTTGAGCAGCAAATTTTTAATTTCAAGGCATGGCTTAATTTTTGACATCAATAGATTCAGGCCAAGCAAGTTTATCAAGACCCATAGCCGTCAACTTTTCACTGATATCAATTAAGCGCAATATCAAAGTTAATTGCTATGAGTTCGGCTAGAAGAAAGACCTTTCCAACATCATTACCCTTCATGCCCCATATCTACGCTTGGCTTTGCGTAATATTATGTACGTTAAATTAAACAATCTTTTTTGGCATAAAGAAACTCTAGTTTTAACACGAGATTGGTATGGCAGTACACATAGTGTAGACAAAGTTTCGTATCAAGTATCATATTTGGATAAATTACCGCCGCCACATTGTCCTTTGTATGCTTCCTCGAGGCTCGTATTTTTGCATCTTGCAATCCGGAACAGGCATTCATTACCATAGGTTTTGCCATTTTTTCCACAAATAGGATCTAAGTTTCGAGGACAAGGTTCTTCACAATCTATAAAAAAGATACATTTCTCTTACACGTCAAGCTTAAGGAAAGTCTTAGATTCAGGCCACCCAGGTCAATCAAGATTTAAAGCTGGTTTTGAGTCATCCTGTCAAGCGTTGAAAAAATGCCTTATTTAGTTGAGTATTTTTACAATGAATATCATACATTACAAATTGTCAGTAATACTAGGTAGGTCATGAACCTGCATCCATTCATTTATTTTAATTTTGGCATCATATCAATCAGCAACATTATCATAGACAGTATTACCTCATTATGCCATACAACAAGGGATTTGGGTGTCCGTTATTTTTACCAATGCAATGTACACAAAACATATACACTTTTATAAGCATTTAAATTCAGCAACGCACAGAATATCTTATAGTGTTTTCAAGCAGATTCTGTCGGTTAATATTATATAAAGATACCCACAACTTGGATTACACATATTTTCTTAAGGAAAGATTTTGCTGTCAGGAGGCTATGGTAAAATAATGAAATTTTTTAGATGTGAAAACCACTTTTAGGCACAAGATCTCATGAAGTCATTTGTCCTTCTTGAATTTGAATGTTGAGCCTTCCTCTAAGGATTTCATATTATGTTATTAGGAAGGGATTTTTCAAGCCTGCCTACATACCTTTTGGTTTGCAGGGCCCCTCTTTTGCCACAGAGATGTTTTTCTTCAATTCACATGATTCAAATTTCATGATGCACTCATTTGCATAATCTTTGCCATCACTGCCACAAACGTGCTTGACTATCAAAGGGCAGGCCTGTTCACAAACACACTTTGGTGCACCATCAGAATCGTCACATTTTCCGAATTCGCATTGCAGAAAATTACAGTTAGCTAAAGAAAAGAGACCGCAAATCAGATAATTCAGGAAACGGGATACCAAAAAACTATTACTTACTTGCATCAAACAACGATTATCTATGATCATCTATGATCATAAATCAGCGGGCTACCACTAAAAAGGAAATTGGAAAATCATGGTGTGTAGGAACTTTCTTGCCCTCCTCCTTCAGCAGAAAATGAACTTTATACTTGATTAAAAATATATTAATTTGACTACAAACAATCAATTAGATATCGAATTCTGATTTGGAACGGTCAAAAATAGCCTATAGACAATGACTATAACCCTTTTCATGACATAAAGCTTTTAAGCTGCTGTAATATTTATGAATATATGAATTCTTAATGCAACTCGCCTGTTCCACGAATGATCAGAAACTAGTAATGTAAGATTGACGATGCAAGATTGAAAATGTATCATCAGCAAACATATGTTATATCATCCAAACGATGATAATGATGATAATTACGACAATAATGATAATGATGATTTTGCTGATTATGCTAATTATGCTGATGATGCTAATTATGCTGATTATGGTAGCTATGCCGATGATGCTAACTATGCGGATGATGATAACAAGGATGAAAAATGTTTTGAGCCAATCAGACTGTTTGTTTACAATTTGAACCAGCCAATGGTATAGCGTCAAAGACAATAGAAATCTGAAGAGAAAATAGCATCGAATCAGCCGCAACAGTAACGCTCGCACCTCCTATCCAAAACTGTGGGGAAAAACCGGCGCCACAAAAAGTTAACGCTGAACGCGAAAATTGTCATTATTGAAGTGCTTCATACAATTATGCATAGCAAAGGAGTATATCTAAAACTTTGTCGTCCCCATTTTTAAAATTCGGTCGTTAACCAGAGATAAGCGATGAAACGTTTAGCCCATTATTGCCCTGATTGAATCTGCTCACGATGGTTATGGTTGGTTGTACTCCAAGAAAACGGCATCATGTCATTTTATTGAAAAACAGGTCATTTTGAAATCTTTTTACAGATCGTTGATAAAATTTAAGCAGAAAATAAACCTTGAAAATTTGTGCACACTTTACTTGTTATTTCAAAAATTGCTTTTTTAAAAATTTGTGAAGTAAAATTTGAAACCTCTGCAAGACCTGCAAAAGTTTGAATCAAACCTTTAACTGAAAAAGCTATTGAGATATAACAAGCTACTTTTTTTGAGTTCTCGTTATCTTATTGGAATACAACGATCAGGGTCATTATTGAGCTTATATTTTGGAAAGTGGTACATTCTCCAACTCTTTTTAATGAAACTTTGCAAAAATGTTTGAATATATCGACATGCAAAGTTGGGAAACCTTGAACCTTTCACTCAACAAATACACTCTACATTTTCACTGATAACAGTAAAAAAGAATACAATTCTTGAACCCTCAAGCACTTGGTAAGTACTTCTGAATTTTTTCTTAAATGAATCGGTAAATAAGTCACTAATAAACCAGGGATTTATTTCAGTGGAGACAGATAGCGTGGGCCGTTGCGGGCTTAGAGAAAACATTTTATCGTTTACTTTCTAACGTTTTGAAGCCACGTTAATCAGTTCGTGTACACAAAATTCGTTGACTAATCGTCCTACAAAACTTTGCCATGAGAAGAACCATTGCTTGCACCTACAAAAGTACCAAAATCAGGAATAGGCATATGATTTTGGAATAAATATTTGCAACAATGCCGCTATTTTCTCAAGATATGCATTTCTTCTGTACACAACACTCTAGAACGCACTCTATGAAAGAAAGTTGAGGGACTGTCTTAGAGTTAAGAACATGCAAGAAAAAGGCAAAAAAACCGAGTTTGATAATTATATCTCTGTCTTACTTTAAAATATACGACGTACATATTTGTAAGTGAAAAATGACCTGTTTTTCAATAAAATGACATGATGCCGTTTTCTTGGAGTACAACCAACCATAACCATCGTGAGCAGATTCAATCAGGGCAATAATGGGCTAAACGTTTCATCGCTTATCTCTGGTTAACGACCGAATTTTAAAAATGGGGACGACAAAGTTTTAGATATACTCCTTTGCTATGCATAATTGTATGAAGCACTTCAATAATGACAATTTTCGCGTTCAGCGTTAACTTTTTGTGGCGCCGGTTTTTCCCCACAGCTTTGGATAGGAGGTGCGAGCGTTACTGTTGCGGCTGATTCGATGCTATTTTCTCTTCAGATTTCTATTGTCTTTGACGCTATACCATTGGCTGGTTCAAATTGTAAACAAACAGTCTGATTGGCTCAAAACATTTTTCATCCTTGTTGATGATGATAACTATGCCGATGATGCTAATTATGCTGATGACTGAGGATAATAATGATAAGTTGATTATGATTATAATATTCGGCTAGCTACAAGCCTTTACCTGGGTCTGTTATTATTTCTCCTTCCAGATACTGTTTGACAGCAATATCCTTTGTGTAATGTTTGGATTCTGAAGGGTTGATTTCAATTGAATGCTCGATACCATTAAAGCAGTCGCCATTTTTAATCCAATTTTTTCCTTTTTTGTCTTCGTAACACCAGCCTCGGTTCCACACAGCTTCAATGAGGTACCTATTGGGTCTCAATTTCGTTTTTACCTCTAGTTTGTATGGAATAGCGCCTTCGACTGGCGTTGGATTTCTCACAATGGCTGTTGCTATGGTCATGTCCGGGCAGTCTTCTATTTCTGTACAGTAGATTGCTTCCCGCAATTTCATAACAAGACACGATCTTGGGGGGCTTGTCAGTGATACGTTAGAAATCACTTTAACATTTCCTGTTACTATAATAGGCTGTTTATCACTTTCATCTTTCAAATCTGCGATGGAGTAATGAGATAAATATGAATCAATCTGTATGTGTTTAAAAGTTTAGAAATTAAACAACGCTCTTGTAAATGTACTGTATATAACCATCAAAAAGACTGTACACGTCCTAAAGATAAAATAATTCATCTTCTTATAAGAAATCCCAAGTTATTGATGCACATCTATGAAAAAACAATCTTGAGAAAGTTTAAGACTAGGAAGAAAACATTTGATACAACTTGAGCCTTCTCAGTGTCAAAACATTAAATATATATGGCTGAGCGTAAAACAGTAGATAATGCGAGAACCCTAGTGCTGGTTTTAAATGGATCATTGTCGAGTAAACAGGGCTGTCGCTAGCAATTTTTCTCAAGGGGCAAGTGGGGGGGGGTTCTCAGATTTGCTGACAAAGTAGGTTGGCATCCTTTATTTGCCGACAAGTCTGCATATTTTCCTGCAAAGCACCTCTAAATGGCAGAAAACTCCTCGTTTTCATAATGAAATTTTTTTCCAAGTGAATTTTCACACCCTCACGCCTCATCTTAGGGACGGTCTTGGGTGTATCATTTTTGTCGTACCTTTTGAGCAGCGTGGTCTCTCGAATCTGACCTCTGTTCCTTCTTTTTTGTTCCCATCTTCGTCCACACACCAACAGTAACCAGTCGACCCATGGCACTGGGCCTCCTCGTACGAGCCATCTTCCTTGCATTGTGGAATAAAAGCTCCCAACAAAGGCCTTCGTTTCCCTTCAATTATTGGGAAAGATTCCAAGACTTTTTGCTTTTTCAATTCGCATTTCTTTTTCGTTTCTGTTAGAAATAAAGCATGAGAACTCAGCCAAGTTTTACCTCTTTAAACAAAATATATTTTTTTGATCTACATCTTGATGTACTTTTTAGAATATTGGATTGGACTCTCAAATAGTGGAGCATGGCTAGGACTCTCAAAGGCTGTTTGGGGCAAACAGGACTTAGGGTAGCTTAGTAGAAATAGAAACCATTTGAACAGTGAATCCTTCCACATGCCCCTTACTGTCATGTACGTTACCTAAATCCATATATGTTGCTGTTTATATTTTCTCCATCAAAATTTTACAATTAAAGCTCAATTTCTTTTCTTTCTGTCTGAGTGTACAAGAATTTTAGAAATGCTTATACAGTGAGAATGTTGATCAACAAGGTTTTTGCTTATTTTTATTGATCTTTAAACATAAATTCTGCTTAAAAAACATGAAAGACAAACAATATGAACACGGAGGTCTGACACAAGAGAAAAGGCACAGTCAAACGCCAATTTAAAACAATGTACGTCATTGAGGCTGCAGGAATAAGAATAAAACTTTACTAGAGATGCACAACTCTCAATAAAACAAAACTTATAACCATATCTAACTGACCCTCAGCTCGAGCTGAAAAAGGATTTGTTGCAGCTTAATGTGGGCATAATTCAGAAGCTATCGTGGACAGAATCGAGCGAAATTAAATTTTTACCTTCTTCTTTACATAATCTTTTCTTTACCACCGTGATCAACGTCTTACTCGTGCAAGATTTGTACTCCAAAAGACACTGATTTGCATAATCTTTGCCATCACTTCCACAAACAGGCTTGAATATGAGTGGGCAAGCAAGTTTGCAAACACACTTTGGCGATCCGTCGTCGGACATCTCACATCTTCCATAATACTCACATTTAACCTCACTGCAGTTGCCTGGAGATAGAGAAAGCACCAGAACTGTGAATCTATACAGTATTAGGGCAGATAAACTTTATTCATCGAAGGCTTAAACCATTGGGGAATAAGAAGAGCATGCATTCTCGCTAAAACCTCGAAGAGAAGGTTCTGGTTTAATTGCCACTGATATTTTCTTTTAAACTTAGATAGACTCTTTACACTATAATTTGTCTCGTATTGAATGATTTTCAAGCTTCTTTTCATGATTTATATTCCTTTATAACCCTTATAAACATTATATAAACATTTCTATTTATTTTCATGCTGTTCTATTTTGCTTAAAATTTGAGATAGTTACTTGTGATTAACCACACACTGGTAAGTTGCTGTTTAGGGGTTACTCTTCGATAAAATTTTTATGCTACTAACTCTATAAATTTTGTTACAGTGGTAAGCAATAGAATTTTTAGACAATGGACGATTAAAATAAGAAGAATTGTTTAAATTTCCCTGCCTGGTTGAAGATGTAGGTACCATTTTTTAAGCAAAATAACTTTAAAGGTGCAAGTAGAGTGGATACCAACTACTTTTTAGACTTATCTAATTTTCCTCTTCCCCTCCTGTCAATATCTCCCTCTCACATTGATCGTTATTATCTCCCTCTCAGTTGATGTTAGCTTCTCCTCACTTTGGAATAAACGTGAGTGAAATTTCTTTTCATTTTTATTGCATATTAAGTGGTGTTCCTAAATATCAAATTGACACAAACATATCTTCTCAAGTCACAGACTTTTCAATTCCTTTGCTCCTGTAAACAAATCTGAATAATTGGACTGAACTTCGACAATAATGTTTTCTGAAAAATAAACATCTTTTAAAATATGACTTTTTACGTCAAATTTTGGGCTCGATTTCACTTGATAACGGGCTATGCTTGAAATAATTCACTTAATCAATTTTTTATTCCTGGTACGATTTACTTACATTCATCGTTATTATAGCGTTGTATTGTACCGCACGCAATCTAGTACATTTTTTAGGATAGCCCTCTAATAGAATCTTTGCATTACGACATTACTAAAAGCGTTACCTGCAAGTTCATGTGATGTCACTTCTGGCTGCACGAATTTCTTGACGTCGATATCTTCTTTGTAGGGACCTGCCTGCCCATCAACGACTTCAATAGAATGTTCTACATCATTGAAAAAATCCCCATCTCGGATCCATTGCTTTGAGTTATTTAGTGGACGGTGACACCAACCTCTATTCCAAACAGCCTCAATGAGGTATCTGTTCGGTGATAATTCTTTGCTTGCATCCAGCACGTAATCAATAACACCATCCTGTATCTCAGGGTCTGAGATGACGAGTGTTGCTAAAGTTGTATCTGGACAATCTTCTATGCTTATACAGTATATGGCCTCCCTCAGTGTCACAACGAGGCACGACTCTGCTGGTTGGCTGCCAGTATAACTTGCCAATTTTACTTTGCCTTCAATAATTGTAGATCCTGTCTCAGGATCCTTTAGTTGGCCTATGCCACACAATGGGACATGGCAGTACTCCCATCTAACTTCACTTGAATTGGTATAACACCACGGGCCTTCTGGCTCTCCATCCGGGTTTCTGCAATAATTCTGGAAAAGGCCAGCATGGATATAATTGGCTGAAGTTTTGATGTGTTTATGAGGCACCTGTGAATCCCATCTTTGGCATTTCAAACCACTCGTTGTTGTAGAGACTATGCCCCGATACTCTTTTCCTTCTACAGTCTTTTTGCACTTGTCTATAGAAAAGTGAAATATCGCTGTATTACCCATATTCTGTTATTGCAACCTTTACTGTGTGGAACATGGTGCTTGTTGGGGGAGACGAACCAACATTTGTTCGAAAATCAACGAAGACAATTTAATGAATAGGATGTCTAGAGAATTAATGACAATGAAGGTCTGGTTTATATGATGTTACTATGATATAAACTAGCTTTGATTAAATGCTATGAAGTGCCGTGAAATGTTAATCTTGTCATAAAGCCTAGGACCTACTGCGCATGTGCATATGACGCACACTTCTCATTGACTCAAACAAACGGATAGTACAATAGCCCTAAACAATTGGCATCCTCTCCCCAACAAGTAGTGTGTGTAAACAAAGTAACTCACTTGGTCGATTTACATTACATTCAGTGAAAAACGCTAGCACTGATATTTTAAAATTCTCTAATTGCTGATTTACTTATAGGTCCGAATCTCCCTTCAACAAAATCCCCTCACTGCTTTTAGATTTCACCCAATTTATGCGCACTGATCACTATCCCGATACACACTTGACTAAATAAAATGTCCATGTTCATGTTTCATTGTGTAATTTACTGATGCAATGGCCTTTTCGATAACTTCCTAGAAAAGACAGAGCAATAGACATTTCCCAGATTTCTTCTTATCTATTTACCAGAGTTTGTCGTCGCAAGGAAATAAGGGACTGCTTTTCAAGTCCCATCCTATTTAGTAATTTGTTCCCGGGCGGAGAGGGCCCATGGGGATAACTTAATAGATATAGGGTAGCGGGGTTGTGTCATTTCTAGATGTACGTTTCTATTACAAAACACGGAATTATTGTAATGCATAATCATAAAAAGCTCAAGTATAATTGTTGGTCTACATATTTTAGCCTTCTGTCGGTCACATGGTCGACCACCCTCATGAAGGCCAAGGGAAAACTAGTGAAAGACGCTGCTGATATTTGATCAAAACCATTAGCAGCTATTTTCAATTCCTCTCTTGAAAACGGTGTTTTTCCGAACATATGGAAAGTAGCCAGCATAACATCAGTCTTTAAGACCGGATCGAAAACTGATTTGAATTCAACAACTACAGGCCAATATCCATACTCTCGGTATCGAGAAAATCGCACATGATCAAGTCTCCACAATTTTGAAGGAAAAAAGCATGCTCTCAAAATGTCAGCATGCATTTCGAAAGCTGCACAACACGTTGACCTCAATGTCACTGACTCATTGCTCTCAAATGCCGATAATCTAAAGATAAATATCAGCATATTCCTTGATCTAAAGAAGGCATTTGATACTGTGGATCACAAAATTCTGCTCTCTAAGTTATCAAAGTATGGGATAGGATATCATCAATAGTTTACATCATACCTAACTGATAGGATACAATACTGCCAAATCAATGGTCCCAGTTCACAACAGAAAAGGTGCAGTGTGGAATTCCCCAGGGTTCGTGCCTTGGGCCCCTCCTTTTCATCCTATACGTAAATGATTTTGAGCGTACTTAAAAAAAACTCAACAAATATGTATGTAGACGACACTAGCATAACATGCTCTGCAAAAGATATTGAGGAACTGTGCAATGACTTAAAAACTGAGGGTAAGAACATTGCAGGGTGGATGCAGCAAAACAAGCTTAGTCTGACCACCAATAAAACTGAATATATGGTCATTGGTCATAAAAGACGAATTAACCATGTCCAGGGGGAGATAAAAGTGAAAGTAAATGGAGAAAAAATCCAACGAGCCCATGAAGTAAAATATCTTGGAGTCATATCTCGATGAAAACCTATCTTGGAACAAGCAGTACAAGAGGCTTAAGTGTAAACTCAAAAGTGGTCTTTCTTCGTTGAGGAAACCACAGTCGAAATTGGACCAGGTTTACAGGGCACTTTTCCAGAGCCATCTAAGATACGGTGATGAATTATGGGGAAGTCTGTCCGCTACAAAGCTTGAACATCTTCAGCGTCTTCAAGACAGGGCTCAAACATGAATTGAAAGTGCTAAATTTGAGGACGGGTGGATTTGTAAATGGCTTTCAGTTTCGAACCTAATTAAATATAACAGGGCCATAATGACGTACAAAATGATGGATGATCTCTGCCCTGACAGCCTTAGAGGTAAATTTATCACTAGATCAGAGATATGCAGTTATTCGACAAGGAATCCAGCTTATTATTGACATCCTAAGGCAAAATTTGGAATTTTCAAAGGGAAGTTTCTTTCACTCTGGGGCCAAAACATGGAATAAGATTCCAAGAAACATCAGAACGAGTCCCACAATTTCCATGTTTAAAAGAAACTTGAAGGGATTCCTACAAAGTTAATAAATTCCGAAAACAAAACACGATCCCTAGTATAGGTAGAACGGCAACATCTTATTTTATATATATTAAAGAATTGATTTGTAGTAGAAGTTTATTTATATTATAGCTGATAGGGAATTCGTATATAAAGATTTTACAATGAAAAAATGAAATTAAGGAAACAAATAAAAAGCTCAAGTGCCACACAAAGAATCCGCTTTTTTCACTGTTTTTTAGGAAGGTGTTCGGAGCTCCAAGCTACAGTTTTGAGGACGGATAACCCTTTTTCTTGCTGTGAAGGTTTTATGGTAGCGTTACGCTTTACTACATTGAAAAACATTTGCCGGTCCAACAATGCCAGCCTGTGTAGTACAAAGTTACAATGGCCTCTTTCGTACTAAAAATATCTTTATTTTTGTGCGTGCGGCATACCAATAATCGTGGTGTTTTTAACTTGTCTCTGTTTTGACAGTAAACATTCTACGCTATCATTCTACTGATACCTGGCGACGATAGTTCGGTCATGTGCGCCAGTTCGAAGGTTTTTGCAAAGTCTTGTAAGACATTATCTTTTTGACGTCTCCATCGCGACATCTTACTACTTATCAAAGACGTCCTTATCCAGATATTGGACCTAATATTGATGCAAATATCCATCTATGTTTACTAACTTAAATCAAATGAGTCAGTTTTAACATATTTAATAGAAGGGACCCCCCTCTCTTAACTATGGTTTTAATTTCAGAACGAGCTACACTATCGATTAAGGCATTGAGTCATGATAAATAGACTGGGTATACCCTAAATGCCAAAATCCGCTGAGTCATGATTTCCATGACTGCGATGCTATTGGTTGACCTTGAACTGGTCACATGAACTCACCTCGTACTGATTAACATAACAGTTTCCATCAATAGCAAGTTGTCAACAACGGATGCCAATATCACATGAAACAGCAGCGATCACGCCGTAACCAAATGACCCCCTATAGAGAAAGCCTATTTACCATGACTCAATGCCTTTAACAACCATGTAATAAGAAATAAGAATAAGAAAGTTTTTCTTGTTATTGTGACCAGGCTCAGCACTTTTTTATCATTATATGATTAGAGAAACGGTCTGCTAGTAGATCTATTTCTGCCCATTAACATTCAATACTCTTTTGCATAATCAGGTTTTAAAGGAACTTTCAGGCCAAGACGTCCCCTAACCTTACTTCTCACTAGACGTGTGTCAACTTTTAAATTGATTTAACAAAGGAGAGATGATCAAACTAAAGGCGGTCATCAAAATATTTAGAAAATAATTACACTGATTAGCAATGTGAATCAGATAAAACCAGCAATGGAAGCATTCAGTAAAAGCGACACTTCTGACCAAGAATTAACGGGGAAGCTTTCTGGCTAGCCTAAGTTTCCAATGGCCCTGTCAAGTGAAGGCTCTCTATGTAGTAGGATTTTCCCCCGAAGAAAGAGTTCTGTCCATTTTCCACAGAATATTGAAAGCGCTGACTATTTTCAACACATCTTGCCCAATTCTTTTGCTCCTGTCCACACGGATGCATTTCAATCACAAAGACGAGGGGTGCCATCGTGTTTAAAAATAAAAGCTTCAGCTCGCCAAAAGAGATGAGTGATGCAACATCTTTTTGTATTCTGTCATAGAAACTCATAATTAACTTGTCATTTATCTTTCAAATCTTTAGTCGTTTCTGCTTTTTATGAGCTTGAATTTCAATCAATAATCTTTAAAACAGTAAGCGACACACCTTTACACCTAACACTCTTATGGTTTATAATCGTTACTATAAATATGTTTAGGTTTGGCCAAGCCTGCGTCACAGGTCAAATTTGACATCTTGTTAAGTAAACATCTTATTGATTTTCGAATTGTTCTGCAACGTAGCCTAGATTTGGCCTAGATTAGAATTGCCCTTTACAATTTCGTAAAGTACAATCAACCAGCAACCAACCTATGGTGTCAATGTATCAAGTGAGAAGTCTTTGAAAAAACCTTACCAAACCTTCCTTTCTCCTCTTCATTCACTGTTTCTTTGAGACTCGTAGTGAGACTACGCGGGATTTAACTCACAGCCTCATAATCACATTTGATATCGATAACCAAAGATTTATTTTGAAAGGTTGCAAGCTAACTTCTGAATTATCACCTCGAAAATTAACTTACCATAAACACAAGGGGGAATGTCACAATATTCCCATCTTTTATCAGTTGAATCGGTGTAGCACCATGGACCGTCCACTTCTCCATCCGGATTTCTGCAAAAGTTCTCACTTAGGCCGGCGTCTGGATAGGCTCTCTTGTTAAACTTATGTGAATGTGGCACCTGTGAGTCCCATCTTTGGCAATTAAATCCTCCGCGCGTTTTGCTCACCGTGCCTCTGTATTCTTTACCAAGCCTCGTTTTCCTGCATGCTTCTATACATAAACAGACAGTAGATTATCAAACTAATGTAACCATTTGAACAGTTTTAAACAACACAAGAAGTAGGTAGTAGAGAGAGATCGAGTAGATTGGTTGATAAATGACTTGCAAAGCATAATAAAAGAAGTAGAAATGCTAGGGGCACGTCAGAACGAATTACTACGGGGGGCTGCCCATTGTATTGCTTCCCATTCAGTATACTGTTGTAAAGGAAATATACTACAGTTTGATAAGTATTGAGGGGCTTCAGCCTCCGACGGACCTGAAGTGTTAACAACACGACTCCGAGACCTTGGCCTGTTGCAAACGCGAAGAGATTTAAAAATGAGGTTTGATTTACCAAAGAAAGCTGGAACGAGGTTTTGAAGCAAACTCAGACTAAAACTCAAAATAATTTATAAGCATATCAAGTTGATAACCACCGTCCCTCGTCCTTGCAGAAAACAACAGTGCCAACAAACAAGGACAGCAGGGGACAGGGGCGTAGTTCTCCTGACGTTTTCATAATGGCAATTGTGTTCCTTTTCACTTCAATAGTTGTTTAATAGCCATAATCAGTCCATTAAATTTGAGGTGCACTCATAAATGTTGGATTACGCTAGAATATATTAGAAATTTCATTTCTGAAAATTTTTTCACGATAAGCACACAGTAGCAGTTTAATTATAACTTTCACATGAATAACTATTGAAGTGAAAAGGAACAAAATCGCAAACGTCACAGATAGCCAAAACATTTTTTCGAAATTCTCATTAAATTTACATGTTGCGTCGCTTAGGAATGTTTCACGAAAATATTTTGGGCGCAGAATCACAAATTTTTGAGGATGTTATTAAAGCTAACCGGAACCACAACCGTTTCTTTGGTTGCCTCCATTTTCAAATGAAAACGGAGTCAAACTAATCCGTTTTTGCCTTGCGTTCACACTACTCTGCTATGAAAACGGAGTCGTTTGAAAACGCTAATGAAAACGGATACTTTCGAATACAGTGCGTATTGAATACGCTCCGTTTTCAGTGTGAACACCAAAAACGGAGACATTTGAATACGCTAACAACGGCAACAAAATACGCGCTTTCTAGCACGCCAAATTTCAAAAATTTTGAAATTGAGAATTCACAATGATGGACTGGTAGCTGCTAGAACAAAGTTTTTCACAATATGCTTTTATTTAATTTCATTCATAATAACGCCAATTTGTTGAGGATTCGTGAACGCCTCTTTTCAAAAATGAGGCCACCAACAGCGTTTTTTTAATTTGAAAACGGATAAGTGTGAACGGACAGCATTTTCATCAATGAAAATGGAGCGAAACGAATACGGAGCAGTGTGAACGTAGCCTAACACAAGTCCGTGAATATTAGAAAATTAAAATTTGCTGGTAGCACATCAAATATTTTCTGCAGTGTATTTCGTTTGACAATATTTCCTTGACGATACAAAACAAGCCAATAGTTTATGATGATCGGTATTGTCAGATTTCCCTTTCCTACAGCACGTTGTCACCAGCAGCGGTTTAAGGGACTACACGTTTTTTTATAAGAAAGTATTTTTCAGCCCAGCCTCCAGATTTTCTTAGCTATATCCTAATTTCAGCACTAAAAATTTGTTAACGTAAAATTGGAAAGTTTACGTTACTAAGCATGCGCAATGATGGAGATGATGAAATGCTATAAATATGCTAAATTTCTCAAAAAGCCTCAACGTCATACTGTATTCGTCGTTTTCTGTTCAGCACATTACTGGGTTGTTGAAAAATTTGACTCTTACACCACAATTTCCTTTGAAACTTTTACTACCTAAATTTTTCAACTTTCTTAGGTTTCAAAGATCCAACCCTGAACTTTCTTAACTTTTTGAAGTACCGAGCACAACCTCCTTACAAAATACTTTCTTATAAAAAAATCGTGTACGGGGCCCGGGGCCTGGACTTGCTACAAGTCTCTCCCTCTGAAAAACAAAGAAAGGGAAAAAAGAAAAAATGGGATTTTTTCTTTTTTCGTATTCTATATTTTTCAGATTACTAAATGGATAGAGAGAGGCTTGTAGCGAGTCCACCCGGGGCCAAAAACATCTGCGGGGCCCTTTACAATTTCCTATTTTTTTTCTGTGTGTGGGGCCTCTTTTGGCTATCATAACCGCGGGGCCTGGGCCATGGCTCCGTGGACTCCCTTGAAACCGCCACTGGTGGTCACGTTAAGCATCCTACCCTATTACCCCGCTTACAAGCCCATGCCCTTATACACGAAAAACGATTCAGATACAGTCGCATGCGCCTGTAAAAAAATGAAAGTTTTTGCAAGAAAACTGCAAAAAAATGCAAGAAAAATGTTTGAACAACAGAAACTGGATATTTTAACAGATTTTCAATGTCAACTTCCTCCGGGTCCAATTCTTCATTGAGCTGTTCTTCATCAAGATTGTCTTCGTCATCATGTCAGTTTACAGGGCCGCCGAGAGGGGTCACGTGGGGCAATTGCTACAGGGCCTCAAGGTCTAGGGGCTTCATAAAGTAATGAGTTCCATTTTGAAAATGGAATTAATCAAACGTAGCAAAAATGTGCCTAAAAATGTAACACTTTTTAACGATTGCAAAAAAAAGGTTTCAAGAATATTCTGAAATGCATTTTAAGCTCATCTGTAGAGGGTGGTCACAAATATTTTCTGCTCGCTCCACTCGCAGGGCCTCTGAAACCCCTCGGCCTAGGCCGGCCCTGTCAGTTTATGCGTGGTTTCTACACAAAGGACAATGCAAGAAAAGTAATCGAGGAAGCATGTAAACATTTTGAAAGAAAAAATAGAAAGCCATATCGCTGTTTTTTCATCTTTCTTGCAAAAACCGTAGAGATCCATTTACAAGCACATGCGTCTTTAAACGAGGTAATAGGCACTGATCTCTATAGAGTAGTGACTTATTCTATGATGCAAATTTCCTAGGAAAAGGTTTCAGGCCGGTGGTGTGACGTCACAGTTAACCGAATCTAAAACCTCGCCCCATAGCTCTTTCCTGTCAAATATAATTAGCATGGTCTCCGACACGTTGGAAAGTGGAGAGGGGTGCTTTTGGCCCCTACAACAAAATATTTTAAGAAAAAGCTCTATTGTTTTGCAAAAAAGTGGGGGAGCCTTCGTCGGAGGCCCTGATTATCTTGATAGAGTTGCCCCGGAATCTCACGAATTTATAAAAAGAATATGAAACCTTGAAGTGTGTACCAAACGGCGTATTTGTCTTTAGCGACAGAAAAGTGAACAAATTCTACAACAGTCAACAGAAAGCCGGTCCACAGAACATATTGTCATTAAAGCAAAATCTCACGTAAAGGTGGCGGGTGGATACATTTACCAGTAGCAGGATTGAATTCTAATTGAAAAAATAACCAGCTTAAGCCATGAAGATTTTCATGGTTGGTAAAATTGACATAATAGCTTAGACAGATTAAAGAAAACGTTGTACACCGTTGCAAATATTTATTCATGTAACTTTAAATCTTGCGGATTAATTCGCCTGCCATTGCCGAATATTGAATAAGCAAAAATATCCTCATGTCTCATATAGGAGCCCTCAAATTGATTTAAAAATAAAAAATACTGTAGCAAAAGGTTGATAATTCTGCCTATAAAAATCATTGGTATTTTAACAAACCTTGCACAGGCAGAGAGAAACTTCCGGCAAAAATATTTCCAATCAGGACAATGAATAAAAGACCCTTTGACATGACTGCAGTCCTCATACCCCGACCTGGCGAAGCGTCTGGAATCACTTTGGATGAGTTCAAGTTGTTTATAACAGTGCAGCCAAACAGGCTTCCTCCAGCAGTGAATGGTATTGTTCATATGCTGATAGGTGCGAAGCACACCCTGTCGGAAACCGGAAGCTATACGGCTATTATGAAACAATCCGTATTCAAATAATTTTTATTGTGTGTCAGAGTGCATGTTAATGCAGGGGGTTGCACAAAGTTTGGAAAATGTATTGAAAAAGAAAAACTGGCTAGGGTGCTTCCACCATGCAGAGCAGGGTGTGGTTTTTTACACTCCAACCCTTTTAGCAGTTGATCTTTCGTGTTATTTGACAAGTGTTTTGGAATTTTAATTTGCGACTCGAGTTAGCCATTAGCACCTTGGTTTCACACTAAACCCATCACAAGAACGTTTTCTCGTATTTTTATTATCATTCCATAACATTATTCTAAACCACTGCGTACAGTTCTTGGCAAACCAATATTTTCCTCATCATATCCATTTCAACCTTATGACTGCATACACACTACGGGTATTATGAATATTTTTCGTATTCATTGTTGGTAAGAAATTAATATTTGATAAACAACCCAAAAAATACCGCTGACATTGGAAGCAGAAATTTCAAGTAAAAGCTGTTGCATTTTGGCATGTAACGGAACAAATCAAGAGATACACAGCAGCTGCTGTGAACATTTAAAATATTTCTTGACTTTCTATAAAAGCAAATTTTTTTAAATCAACGAGGCTAAAAATCTAAAACTTAAAGATTGAAATCAATTGATATGCATTAGAGAATCATTCATATGTAACCTACCTGCCACAAGTCTATTCTTTCTCGAAGGTAGTCCACAATACGTAGGTGCAAGCAGGGGCGCAGGTGGAGTTGTTTTTTTGGGGAGTGGGGGCTAAAAGCAACATTTTTCTAAAGTTTTCGACAAAGTAGCAAAATTTCCGAATTTTCCCAATAGGTTTGGTTCTTGTCAAACCAAACCAATATTTCCTGATCATATCTTTCCAATTCCCCAAGCTTTTTTACATTATTTGGTTCCGTTTTTATTGTTAATTACCCTTGGTACCAGAGCCACATAAATTCGAAAGCGGAAATAGAAAATAGGAGAGGAGAAGCGGATGAGCGTCTCCGCTTCTCTGATTGGCATTCTGTTTACGCTCTCGAAATTTGTGCCTCTGGCACCCAGGGTAATTGTTGATGTGTTTCGCCAGATATTTTTTGAAATGGTTTATTTGCATTGTCTTTACATTGATCTTAAAGGAGCTTTTATGGTTGGCTTATATTTATCCCAGTGTAACGCTGTTCCAGATCAGATCTTCCTACAGACAAATGAATTGGTTTCTGGGCCATACACTAGTATATCTAGCTCTCGCGTTACAAAAACGAGCCTGTTCTTAGATTATAGAAGTTCATAAAGGGCTGAAAATGGCAAAATTGCTGAATGTTTTGTGGTGTTAGCTTGTTTAATTTGTAGGTCTCCTTACGAGGCTGTGTAGCTAGGCTGAAATTAACGCCGTTTTCACGACCACAGTTTATCAATATAACTAGGCAGTGGTTTAAATAACTATTTATTAAAGTCTTATAATAATCTGCGTTGCAGGGGCGTCGCCAAAGAGGGTACAGGGGAGGGGGTGGTACCCCCAACATTTTGCTCGTCGGCACATTAAGAGTTTTTGTCGGGCAAAGGATGGAATTCTGTACTCACACTCAGGGACGAAAACAAGTTGCTAATTTTGGGGGGGCGTGGAAGCATGAAAATTCCAACTTCAAGTGATAAATTTTTCATTCGACCAGTAGATCTGTTGTACCTACCAAATTGATATTTGTAAATAGCCCGAGCACCATAGTTCTATTTTCTTTATAATTACCAAATCTTTACTCAATAATTAGCCTAAAGCATAAAAGCCTAAATCTCTAAATTTTGATTAACATGAAACAAACATTAAACATACTGTAAGAAGTAAAGCAACATTTAAGCAAAACCAGTATTAGATATACTTAATGATTAGTAGTATTCTTTCAGATCAATTGATCAATTTTATCTAAAATACATTTTTTCATGATATAGAAGCACCAAGAATTTGGGCCTTTTATTTTCGTTCTTGATCGAAGAAAACTACCTTTAAACTTTTCAGAGGGCCAAATGCCTTTTCATTCTTTACAATTGAAATGATGATTTGAGAACAAACTTGTGCATATGCCTGATTCGAAAGATGAAATACTCTTCTTTGATCAAATACTTCTACTGCAGTTTTTGCAATGTGTTCTTGCTCCACAGCAGTTTTGTCATAGGAATTTATGATAAGGACTCAAGGACATTAACAAATAACAGGGGGAGTTTAGCATAAACTCGTTTTTTATAAGAAGCGTTGAGAATTTTTAGTACTGAAAGATTCTTAATCTTTTATTGAATTAACTACTCGTAGTTTCTAAAAAAATTCCCACTCTAATATTTTCTGATCAATGCCGGTATTATTATTCCAAACTGTAAGTTTCAAGTTTCTTATCCGTAAGTTCACCTTGCCTGTTCGTAATTTGATTCAACTCCCGTCAGAAAGAAAGAAAAAGAAAACGGGGCAAGTGTGCAATTTGGACCCAGTGGAGACGGGATTCACAATAGAAAACGATTGGATGGATCAGCTTCAGCCTGTGAATTTTAATGTTTAGAATTTTTATAAATTAAAATAAAAAAACTTCTTAAAATATAAAATTCACAAGTTTGGTCTTAAGAAAAAAATTCCAAGTCAACCGTTACGTTTTCCAACTGTAACTGGATTTTCCAAACTTTGGGGGGGCGTTACGCCCCCCACGCCCCCCTATTATTTACGTGCCTGCTCACACTGTAACCTTTTTGCACTAATTGTAACGTATCAACATTTCTGTGTTGTTGAACTTTCAAAGTAAGCCACTAAAGTATGAACTTCGAAATAGAAGCACATAAAAGTAGCATGTAAGAGTATTTATCTTTTGAACACACCATTAAAGAGTGAGACACGACCTGTCACCTTTTCACACCAATGGAATCGAAACCCTCAACCGAAACCAATTTCGGTTGGTTTTCAGCTCATCAAATGCAACTTTGGTTGTTCTTCAAACTTCAATAAAGGCTCCCTGATTTTTAAAAGGCATTACACATTTGAAGGGCTGAGTAGTAAATTCCTTTGCATACTCAAGATTATTTTACGGATCAGTGGCAAAGCTTGATCGTCCAGACTACGATGGTGGAGAGTGATCAATAGTGCTATTTCACCTAACGAAAGGCGATTTTACCGACAAAATAAAAATTTTGCGGACCAACTGAAGATTTACGGACCAAACACGAAGAATTGGGAGAGGTATAACAGCCCTTAACCTCCGCTAGCCACGCCCCTGCTGAAGATCTCTACAAAATCCTGTTTTAATACTGAATCATTGAGATCATTGTTGGAATCTAATCTAGCAATTTTCTGAAACGCGTCTGTAAACATGAGCAAATAGACCATTACTGCTCGATCCAGCATGGTGATTTTCGTTATCATTTTGGGCTTATTTGACTTATAGTTTTAAATATTGGCAATGGTGCAGTTTCTCGGGGGTATGTGCCCACTTATCATGTAATATGTTTGTTTCAAGGTTGGCTTATTTATCAACAATTGTCTGTGTAAAATATATTGATAATTTAGATATATTTTAAAGGTAATGTGACCAAGACAGAACCCTGAGGAATATCACGGATGGCACAGTACTATCCTCTGTTTTCAGATATGACTTAAACCAGTTTCTATCTGAAATACAGCATTTACTTGATTTGTTAGCAATATCGTCTGGTCAATTGTGAGCCTTTTTTAAATCTGTTAATATAGATATGAAAGTAATTGACACTTGGGCACAATATGCAAAGGAGGATGGCCGTTTCCCCCTTTAACGAAGCATGTGATAATTTGCTCCCAGTGCTGTTTTTCCTCGTGTTATCGTGTTTATTTTGCTTATTTTCGTGTTCTTCTCACAGCTGTAAAGAAAGAAGGTGATGTAATCTTATATCACGTGATCAAGTTTCAGCTTATCAACTCATAGGGCTTAGAAATAAGTATACAATGGCCTGTATGCCCAAGGCAATTCCAAAGTTGAGATAAGGTATTGGCTGTTTATGAGAATTGAATTGTAAATTGTTAATTTTTTTCGATTCAATTTCTACACTGACTGGAATATGGGAAACGATTATCATGAGACAAATCCATAGCTTGACATTGCAAGAAGAATCAATTTTTCTTTGTCAACACTATCTTTTAGCTTTAGAAAAGTCAATCAGGTTATAAATCACATTTCATAACAAATCTTTGACTTTGCTGACTATGAATAGATCTTGATGTACAATAAACCCATTCAACCTTCAGCCTCGTTTTAAAATACTTCGAACTTCATTATTTAATCTCCTGATGCTAGTGATTGTTGTATTTTTTAAGTTATAAAAATAATTATCAATAAATTATTAATAAGGATAATGAAGCAAAAATCAATTACAACCTCCTGTAAGATAAGTGATTTACTTCATTTTAGTAATTTAGTTATTACTACCTTGCCAATTAGAGCTCTGTCGAAACTTAAGAATTTTATTATAGTATAGAAGTTATTGAGCAAGCATTGCGAATAAATGCTAATATGCTAATATACTAAAGGAAAATGAAATAAAAGAAGTGCATAAGATATTTGACCGTGTTTTTTTCCGAAAAGCTTCGCGAAAAAAGATTTTTGCGTTCAAATCCCTTTAAAGTGTTTAACCCTTATATTGCCATAAAATCTACACTGCAAAAAATGAGAAAGCTCATCCATGCTTCTCATGCTCCGAAGAGAGGTCTTTTGCCAAGTAACCTTCGGAGGCCGCCCCTGATAGCCTATGTTCCAGACCCTAACTTGAGAGTAGAAAGACCTCTACATTCAAGTTAGGGGTCTGGAACATAGGCTCGCCTTTGATTGCTGCAATGCAAACTGCCCTGACTTTGCAACCTGTTCTTCTCTTTACACTCTTTCTGCCACAAAAGATGGTAAATATTAATTTTGCAATACCCTAAGCAAACAAAAACAATAGAAGAC